GTCCAAGATTCAACTCCGGAAATTGGTTCTATTCATGGTAAGGAAAACGAAGTTGACTTTTTTCTTTGTGGGTTGATTTTGCCATGCCATGTCCTCAACTGGGCTGGGATCTGATTGATTGCGTTGACCATGTTTTTGCATTCTCTTCTGGGTTGCTGCAGCTTTATGGGTTTGGTTATGCAGGGCCGTTGGCACACTTTCTGCACAAGTTGTTGGATACTCTTTTCAGGGGGAAGAAAGATAACAAAACCGTCGCCAAGAAGGTATGGAAAACGAAGAGAGTATTGGCTATTGCAATGTACAGTTCATGGAGCATAATGATCTTGCTGATGTCTTGGATTTTGTTTCTCTGTCATTAGGTGCTGCTTGAACAACTGATTGTTTCTCCATGGAACAACATGGTCTTTATGCTGTACTATGGCTTGGTAATGGAAGGTACGCATGTTCAAGTCACTAACTAAGCCACTTCAGCTCAGCAATTTGCAACATCTGCTTTTTAATCATGGGTTTCAAGCTGCTAGTTTGCTGGTCTGTTGCTGCCATGTCAACAGTCGTAGCTAGTGTAATGTTCAGTAGGTTGATTGTACAGTGATTGGCTGCTGTTAGTATGCTGCAAAACTAGAAAGAAAGTTTTTGCATCTCAAGTGCTATTCGGTAGGTTGATTGTACAGTAATTGATAGTGGAAGTATAATTATATGTCGATTGAAGAACTCCCATTTCAGTACTGGTCAATGAATGCACAGTTCAGTTAATCTAGTATACTATACCAATATAACCATCTTAAGGTCATCAAAGCTTTGATTGCTTACAACAGTTGGCATTATTTGCAGGACAACCATGGCGTTCTGTGAAGGGTAAAGTCCGGAAGGATTTACCTTCTGTACAATTTGCTGCCTGGAAGGTAAGAGCCTGTGTGCAGTGCAATTCATCTTCGCATGTGTGTTGAGACCAACACTCTGGTGTGATCAAATGTTCACATGCTAATACTTGAACCTTGTGGGTTTGCAGTTCTGGCCTATTGTTAGTTGGGTGAATCACCAGTATATCCCATTGCAGTTCCGGGTTGTGTATGGTAGCTTCATGGGTGCACTTTGGTATGACTCTCTTCAATTTTCAACTTCTTGCTTTTGCACCTGGTTAACTTTTTTTCGATGGAGATGACTGCAGCTCGATGAAAACTTAAGTATTTGGGAGATGTTCTTGAGTAAAATATCGCATCTTAAATTGAGTTGGCTTTGTTCTATCGCTTTGGCTTTTCAGGGCAATCTTTCTAAATCTGAAGGCAAGATCAGCAACAACTCTTAAGCAGGCATAGATGTGCGGTGAGGCAGCACCTATTATCTACTTTAACTTTATGCATCTGAGCAGTTCTACCTTCATGTATTCAACGGAGAAGGATACTCTAGTTACTCTATGATCTGGGTTGTCCGTGGTAAAAGCTCCGAATCAAACTTTGCTGGTGGGAACTAGATCTGTGTACTCAGAGCCACCACGTTTGTGCATTAGTTTGATTTTTCTTATTTTTGTGCTAGATGAATATAGTAGGGAGAAGCTTATGGTAGGTTTGATGCACCATTGATAGTAATGTTAGATGCTTAATGCTTATCAGGGATGCAGTGGATTTAAATCAATAATACGAATCTTGTTTTGCAAGAGGGATTCGTAGGGTTTAAGAACATTTAAGTTTCTGCTTAAGCACCAATTGTGATGATGATCTGATTGATCGTCCTAACACTTTGTATGGCAACTGCAACGAGTAAACAGAAGGTTGGAACGCCCTTTACGCGACTAGAATGGGGTAAACTGGTGATCCGAATTTCGGAAACCTTGATGTCAACAGACCGCAGGCAGATACATAGATGTATTGCCTGAATGCTACATTCGACGAACCATGCCTACTAACATTTGAAATCTCCCTCAACTCACCTTCTTGCCTCCGAATCGGAGAAGACATTACCATCTAGAACTACAATCTGCAGTTCCCCTATCAGCAACCAGGACAGATTCAGGTGTTTAAGTACCATTAGAGACTAGAGTAGGTCTGAAAGGTTATAGTTATAGAGACAGTTACAAAAACCTTCAAAGAAACCAGACAGTCGTCTCTCTAAAGACAACAAGACCTAGATATAGAGTAGCAAGTTACTGTTGTCTGCTGCGCTATGAGGAAAATCAGACCACCTCCACTTGAGATGGAAAATATTTCAGGATTATTAGCAAAGGGTCAGCTCAGTTGTACCTAATGCGCAAGGACTGAAATACCGTACCGGAGATCCTACCGGAAAAGTCAGCGATAGAGTATTTTATGCTTTAAACCATGGTTCAACCGTATTATGTCACTAATACTGTCTACCGGTTTTGCTTCCGGTAGGAGGTTTTTCAGATTGAACCACCGGTACTATACGATATTTTAATTCTTGCTAATGCGGAGTCTGAACAGAAATGGTCGGAGTTGGGATAATTGGGCCTCCAGGGGCCCTTTTATCTTTTAAGCCCAAAGACAATTGAGCTAGTTAATGCCTAGTCAGATAGAAGCTACTTAGCTTTGGATGGGCCTGTCTTCTTTGCAGACTTACAAACAGATATGGTAAACGTCATTGACGGGGAGAAACCCGCCCCATAATTTACAAGAAACAAGTATTTATAGCGTTCCAAAAACGAAAGAACAAGTGAACACATTTTTTTATATTTATTTCTTAATTTTCATTGTCACAACAAAAAATAGAAAACTTGCCATTTTTTTTATATTTATTTCTTAATTTTCATTGTCACAACAAAAAATAGAAAACAAAATGGCAAGTGAACAGGGCAATTAAAATTGTTTGATTAATGTTAGATGTATATGATGGAACTAATCTCTAAGCTAGATGTACCATCATTGGTAGATTAATGTTAGCAACTAAAATTCAATTTCAATGTTTCAAAACTAATCTCTAAGCTAGATGTATATGATGGAGCTAAATGGTGGAATTTTAGCTAGTTAGTTTGATAAGTAGTGGCTCAAGAACCGATGACATAGGTCAGGGGTTTGACTGTATAGTTAGTTGAATTGTAACGAGCATGAAAAAACAAGAGTACGTCAAGCTGTAATTCTCAAACTTCCCAAATTCTTCAATTGACGGTTTACTTTCTTGTATACAAACTGATTTTCGTTCTTGATTCATCAAAACTCCATAATATAGTATGCACGTATTGTTGTGACTTATGGAAGGAACTATACATGCCATAATAAGTGAGACAAGTAGGTAGCTGAACTGCCCACAGTTATTGCTAGTTTGGTACATTGTGGGAAAACTTCATAGACTTTTTTTCCTCTACTACTCACTTTATGTATTCTTCTTTTGGATTGAAGTTTGAACGCGACTGAACATAGACGAGATTTGTTATCAGACAAATAATGAAAGCAATAAATATTTGCATCTACCGGGCACATGCTTTGCTGCTGTGGAAGTTCATGTCATGTTCATATATGCATGCTATCAAAGGGTAGTATATATCTGTAGATGCCCAGTTGCAAATTTAGTTCCATTAATTATTATATATATGATATAAGACTATAGTTAGCCTCTGCAATTTTAATTCCTTCAATAATATTTCTGTCCAGATTATTAATATTGAAATTAGTAATTACTACATTTCGTTCACGAGTTTAGATTCTTTTTTGACGAAGGAGAACCCTTATTTGCGGTCGGTGCTGACAGTGAATTCGTTGGCAGGTCAAAATTCGGGTTTGCAGCCCTGGGACAGCCGATATTAGGAACCGGGTGATTAAGCGAAGGCTTTAATTTCCAGGCATTTTTGGTAATCCAGAGTACAAACGTGATCAGTACGACAACACTTTGTGTGCGCTGCCACACTTAGTGCGTGCACAACTCAAACAACCACCTCTAAGTCCAGGGCCCTCCAACATTAGAGTATAATTAAAGACGGAACGAATCACTGCCGTCTGTCACCAGTTTTCAATCGCTAACCTCTCGAATTATCGTGTGTCGTTTCGCCAACTAGGCTAGGCTAGTAATTGTTTGCAATGAAATGAATCCTCAATAATTCAGAGACTTTTGAGGATAGGGATTGCAACTTTGCAAGTCATAATGACTTGAACAACTAATTCGAACAGGCTGAAAGTGACACCACAAGGAATAGAACGGCTTACGGCCTGATCGATATAATGTCACATGCTTTGTCTAGCTCTAGCTACAAGTATGTCATTACTGAACATTTTTCTGAGTAATCGGGTAGCCTATGTATATGCTATACAGTAGTCTCCCTCCCTCCCTTCTCTACTCTATTATATGCCAAGCTGGAGCTAGCCAGCTCATTTACGTCATTTTGTGTTCATTCATACCGTTTTATGCTCATCCACGTAAATGGTGATTTACGTAAGAGTGTTTTTCAAGTAAATAGAAATTCACACATTTCCCCTCTAATAATTTGTATTGGCTATATTTTATGGAATAAAATTTTGGATTATCAATTAAACTGCAAAAATATGTTGCATTGATCATAATCTACACAATGACATCCAGTTCGATATATTTCAAAGTCTAAATTTTTTTTTCTCTATTTTACAACGTCGTGAATAATTAACAATAGGCGCGCGCGAATGAACATCGGGTTGCGTGACCTGACAATATTTGGTTGCGTGAATAATCAACACATACGCTTACATGAATAACGCAAATATAAAACGTGAACGAACGAAACAAAATACGACGCGAATACAACAAATATGGCGTGTAATAACCCAAAATCAGCCACAAGAGAAATTGCCATCTACCAAATTAAAGAAGGCAGAAGCTCAGCGACTCCAACGCGGATTCATCAATTCACGCAATTGATCCGGACCGGTGGGGGAGGTAGCTAGCTAGCTAGCTAGTAGCAGTTACCCTAGTAGCTAGAGGGGGTTTAATTAATTTTTCACAATCTTAGTTTACAATTTGTTAATTTGAATAATAAAAACAAATCTACTGAGATTTCCAATACAGTTTGAATGTGGCCAACAGTTGGTGGTTGAGGGACTTCAATGCAATCTCAAATCAAAACCACGACGCTAGCTTTTTGGGGTTATAAAAAGACCCCATTCTCATCAGACTTTCCCAAACCAAGTTTCCCAAAAAAAAAAAACAGAAAGGCGAGAGAATATGGGGAAGGGAAGTGGGAAGAGGATTGCTGCTGTGGTGTTGTGTTTGGTTTGTTTTCAGGTTCTGGCGGGGAGTGTTTTGGCGAGGGATTTTGTGGGGAAGTATGAGGAGGAGAAGAAGGGGTTCCGTAGGGGCGGCGGGTTCGGCGGCGGCGGCGGGTTTGGTGGAGGCGGAGGGTTGGGCGGCGGTGGCGGGCTGGGAGGTGGGGGTGGAGCGGGTGCAGGTGGCGGGTTTGGTGGCGGCGGAGGGTTGGGCGGCGGCGGCGGGTTAGGAGGCGGCGGCGGTTTAGGTGGTGGGATTGGTAAGGGTGGTGGACTAGGCGGCGGCATTGGCAAGGGCGGGGGAATCGGCGGTGGGATCGGAAAAGGTGGAGGACTTGGCGGCGGAGCAGGTGGAGGGCTTGGCGGCGGAGCAGGTGGTGGGATCGGAAAAGGTGGAGGTCTAGGTGGCGGAATAGGTAAGGGAGGTGGGCTTGGGGGCGGCGCCGGTGGTGGGAAGGGCGGGGGACTTGGCAAGGGCGGAGGACTTGGTGGTGGAGCCGGCGGAGGTGCTGGTGGTGGGTTTGGCAAGGGAGGAGGACTCGGCGGTGGTGCTGGTGGTGGAGCCGGCGGAGGTGCTGGAGGTGGGTTTGGAAAGGGTGGAGGAATAGGAGGAGGAATCGGCAAGGGAGGTGGATTCGGCGGTGGAGCCGGCGGCGGGGCTGGTGGAGGAGTAGGAGGAGGTGCCGGCGGTGGAGGAGGGTTCGGCGGCGGCTCGGGTGGAGGAATTGGGGGAGGATTCGGGAAAGGCGGTGGGATCGGTGGAGGAGTGGGCGGCGGGAGCGGAGGTGGAGGTGGGTTTGGAGGAGGCGGCGGAGCAGGGGGTGGATTCGGTGGTGGCGGCGGTGCCGGAGGCGGGTGGGGCGGCGGACATTAGTAAAACGGCGGTGATCACGTCCCCCTCTCTTGTCGTCCATGCATGCATGCATGCACGCATTTGATAGGAGGAGCTCATGAGGAGATCCAATCCAATGAGGAACTGAACAAAAAAGGGATTTACAGTCGTTAATTAATAATTATTCCAATTCTGAATTCATGTGTTTCTTTCCTCTATTTTATCACCTCTGTATTGTAAGAGACTAAGAGTTATTGTAATTCGACTAAAAATGTTTTATATTATCAATTATAATCTCCTCATTGTTTATTTGAAGAAGTAATCAATATCACACCTACTTGTTGCACACCACACTTACCACAAATACCGTGCCACATGCATAATTGCATTAATGAGCATAATATGGTTAAAAAATAAAAATGAAGAAAATTGGTGAGGAAATTGGAGCAGGAATGTTGGGCTTAGGAATGGTAGGTGTGGGGAATTATGGGAGATGGGCCCAAAAGGGAGAGTGCATTTAAAGCCTGGTGTTGTGTCCAGAACAGACAGAGTGGCCTATCGTCATTATTGTGATCGAAAATTAATTCATGGGTAAGAGATAGACTGGGCTGTTCCCCGTGGGAAGCCGAAAACAGTGGTCCATCTACAAAAGATATAATGGAGATTCATGGGTTGACATTACCGCATTTTGAATTTCCAACCCTTAGAGCACTTCACGGAGGGGCATTTTTGTCATTGAATTTTATTAAATGAGGATGTGCGTTTTGATGCCTCTCCGCCCAGCATCTACATCAGGCCAACTCTTTAGTAAGGATAAGGGATGTGTCATTGGCCCAATACCCTGTATGCGGCCCACCGTTTTTTCGAGCCCAATGCCCTTAAACACCGGCCTGGCTGGCGCTCTCTCTCTCTCCCTCTCCAATCTCGATTTCGCCCTCCCTGAGATTCGCCAGCGGATCAATTGTGCAGACTTATTTTATTTCACTTTCTTATTTGGTTAATTTATATATAGCGGTTCATTCCCTCAAGCAACCCAACCTATCTCCTTCACCGATTTCATTATCCACTACTCTACCAGTGAAACATTTTATTTTACATAAAACCCAATTTACCTTTTTCATTTGCTATATCCCTTTATGATGTTAAGGGATCTAAACTAAAACCAGCCTTTTAGCTTGAATTTTCCACACACACACAAAAAAAATGCTAGGCAGGGTTCCATATATTACTATTGATAATTGATGTAGGATAATAATTTTACTCATTTTGAAGGAGGCCAAATCGATTTCATTTATTAGATCGGTCAAGAAAATGTATTAAGAGTTAATAATCGGAAACTGGTTAAGGTATATTACTATTAATCGTTGGTGTAGGTACTAATTTGACTACTTTTCAAGGTTGCCAACTCGGTTTCAATCATTGGCTCGGTCGAGAAAATGCGCAGAGTTAATGACGAAAATCGATTTAGCTCCAAGATATGGAAAACCCATTATATTGTGCACACACAACCACATATGTATGTGTATATGTAGTGTTTTCTATCATGTTTTGCGTAAAATCAAAATGTAACGCATACCCTTGGTAAGAAATGGCAATCTAGATTTTGAATTAATCAGATTTCGGGACATGATACTATACCCTAACCCTTGACGAGTGAACCCTAAGTCTTAACTATTTAAGTCATAGACCCTAAACTAAGGATTTTAAAATCTTATAAGAGGTTATAGCAAATAAGTCGGCGGTAGGGTATTTTGTGTCGAAACTGTGGTTTAACCGTGGTTTAACCATTTCATACCACTAAATAGTGTCTATCGGTTTAGCATCTGGTATGAGGTTTTCCTGTCAAACCCAGGTATGGTAAGGATTTTTTAATCCTTTCCCTAAACACCAAGATGATGCACATAATTTGTTGGATGTATTTCTACAAAACATGACCTTCGATTATTATTTCTAATTAAATTGATCTTAGTATATGAGACTCATAGAATTAAGACATAGATTTAATCTCTAAGGGTTTATGGTAAGTACCACGTCCCTAACTCCGATCAATTCAAGGTCTAGATATCATTCAAGGTCTATATATCATCTAATTATGTCATTTTCTTACTTATAGTTGTGTTATCCTGTCGGAAAGTCATTTGTTTTAAATGTTAGTTGGTCGTACTGCAATTTTATTAGGGTTGTATGTTGTTTGAAACATTTTGAAATTGATTAGTCAAATATTTTGAGTACTCCTATACTATTTAGAGGTAATACTCTATTTTGGACCGAACTTTGACGTAAATAATAATTTTGGCATGAACATTCAAACAAGGTAATTTTGTCCAAATTTTGAAATAAATTAACAAATTTGACCCGAAATTTGGGTTGATCGGTAATATTGATGGTTAAACATTTCTTTTGTCAATGTTAAGGTGGTTTTGATGTGGATTTCACTGATTCATGTCATAGGGGTGATGCGCTATTTTGCCTGAACTTTACTGTAAGAAACAATTTTGCCCTAAACTTTCATATAAGACAGTTTTGTACGAATTTTCAGAGAAATTGATAAATTTGGTCCAAATTTTAGGTTACCGTTAATATTGATGGGGATTGGTATAGAGAGAGATTGTTCCTTGCATTGGGATTTTTAGGGGCTTGAATCAATTTTTTTTTAATCTAATTTATGCAAGTAAATATGAAAATATTAGGATAAGCTAAGTGTCATATTTTGTGGTCTCTTTTTTCTTCTGAAATTTTTCACTTTTTATATTTTTTTAGATTTATAAATAAATGATGTGGAAGCCACATCGCAACCTAAACCTCTCTATCACAACCGTCAATATTAAAGATCAACCCAAATTTCGGAAAAAATTTGTTAATTTGTTTCAAAGTCCGAACAAACCTATCTTATTTTGAAAGTTCGAGCCAAAATTGTCTTTTACATCAAGTTCATGTCAAAATAAGGTATTATCCCTATGACATGGAAGCCACAGCCACCTTAGCATTGTATGTTGAACCATGGATGAAGAAATGTTTAACTATTAATATTGATGGTCAACCTAAATTTCAGTCCAAATTTGTCCATTTCTTTCAAAATTATGAATTTTTTTTTATCTGCAAGTTCATGTCAAGATTGTCTTTTACATCAAACTTCAAGGCTAAAATAAGGTATTATCCCTATTATTTATTGTCAACTTATCAATCAAAGTAGCCATTGAAAGTGGCAGCAGCACCGACTAAGACAAACATATATAACAATTACCAGGGAAAACCATATATAACTCAAAATTAGTTACACTCAGTCTTAAGTTTGAAGCTCTCTTGAGAGCCCCGACTATTTTCTAGGCATCTTCGGGGACTACGGACTAGCATGCTTCCCCAACTAGCTGACCCTTATTTTACTATCTATGAAGAGGAATAATATTGAGCGTACGTATTAGACATCAATTACTACTATCTACGAAGAGGAATGACGTACCTATTAGACATAAATTAGGGTTACAAATGATCCCATTACTAAACTTTATGAGAGACCAATCTTTTTCTTTCCTCTTGAGAGTTCATTATACACTATGTTTGGGAAGGGGTGTAAATGGAAGGGGGTGCAAATTTGGGGGGTAAACACAAGTTCCAAGGTGTTTACCCCCGTTTGGTTATTTTGTAACAGTAGGGGGGTGCAAAACGTGAGCGTAAATTCACTATTTCGGCTTACCCCCCAAATTGGGGTGCAAGGGAAGGAAGGAAGGGAGGGGGAAGGGGGAGGAGGGGAATTATGGATTTTTAATTAGATTATAATTACATAACAATTAATATTATTAATTTTTTCTTATATCTATATTAGTGTAAAAGTTGTTAGGGGTTGACCATTTGACTCAGAGAGCAAGTTTGTCAATGTTCGCCTAGTCAAATCGATATCTCTTAGTTGACCCGAATCTGCATTGAAAATTAGAGATAAGAAGCGTTTGTTGAAAAGATAGAGAGGAACAGTTTAGTTAACTCGATTTACTTTAATAAATAGTTAAAACTTACATATTCGAACGTGTTTGACTAAGTTTGACCATATTCAATTTAAAGTTAGGCACGAGAACCCCCTTAGGATGACCAGTTACGAGTTGGATTTCGAGTTTCGAGGTTGCTCGACCAATGATTATTATTATTATTATAAATAATTATATTTGAGCATTATTATATAATAATTATTTTTATTAAAATTATTTATTATTTATTATTTATTATTATATATTGAATTTTCATGTTATTATTTTGTGATAATATTTTATAAATTTATAAATCTATTTTATAATAATATAATTACTTACTTTTTACTTTATTTGCACCCCCCTACTTTTTCATCCAAACAACAATTTACCCCTCCACTTACACCCTCCACCAAGTTGCACCCCCCAGAGATTCAAGGGACAGTAAAATTTTCAGACTTTGTGATTCTATTGGGGGTAGTTCAGGTGATCTTTGCGGGTCATTTTTGAAACAGAGTAAGCTCATTTTAGTGGCTCGACATGCTCTGTCTTTGTCACTTCATTCTCAATCGAGGTTCGATTACTTAGCGTGGTTAAGATATAGGTAGGTTTTTGTATCAGGTCATGAACGGGATCTATTTATGAATCTCTGAATGAGAGTGATTGATTGGCAAAAACAATTTTTTTTTTTGGAGTTTTCCTTTTCCGCTTTAATTTTGCGATTGATAATGCGTTGCGCGTTCTCAAATTCGACTCGTTTGCGGTTCTATTTATATGCCTTTAGGTTATAAAAGGTTGTCAAACCGGAAATCATTAAGCAGGTTTCGCGAGTAGTTTGAGGTTCAATGATTGGATCGGGTGGGTTCAACTAGTTTTAAGTTGGTTTTGATAGAATACGTGAGAAAACCTCTCATACCAATTATGTATATGTATCATGTATGACATATTTTAAAACAAACTCACTAATCTACATTAATATATTACCAAATAAATTTTGGTAATAAATATATATTACCAAATTATCGACCCTCATCTTCAAACACGATAAGATTAGCTAATTTTGACTAATTAAACCCAAATTTGTATTTTTTAGACACCAATCCACCGTCTATTCCGACCGTTCATATGACCGTTCATATGACCATGCCGTTTGGACAAAGTCGAACCGACCAGTCAAATATTGGTTCGACAACCTTGATCATAACACATATGAATTTGAGATACGCTGTCATATAATCCGCTTGATCGTCACTAATGCATTGGGTAAAAAAATAACTTGTGCCGGTAAAACCCCCTTTTCTTTTTCTTTCTAAACGAAATAGGACGGGAAAATCAAAATGTTCTCCCTTGCTCTCTGTAACAATGACAGCCAAATTCGTCAACTCTTACGATGACTAGTTCAAGAAAAAGAGAAGATCTTTTGAAAGGCAGCCAATTGGGCAAAGAAAATGGACAAGTAAAGCAGTAGCTTCCACTGTCCAGTTCCCTCTTCTTCTCCGCCACACAGCGTTCAAAGTTGTTCCACGAAACAACAACAGCTCGTCACCAGCTGTATTGTAGGGCTAATTCTTCCTTCCATCATGGCTTTTTTTGGCCCACCACTAGCATTTACAGCAGGTAAACCGAAAGCTAGCTTTCCCCCATCATTAATTATCCTCCAAAATGGGTGAATTGTGAGACCAAATAGTTGTGTGCCGGCCGGACCATTTTGGTCTGCCGCTGATGGGCAGAGCAGAGGAGGCCGGGCAAAATTTGACTAATTCAATTGCCGGTCCCATCCCACTTGGTTAAAAACTTTAATCATATTCTGGGTCTTCTTTTCCCCACCTCTTTCCCTGTGATCTGCAGTGTGAAAATTCCCCTGTGGCAGGTGATTTGAATAGAAAATCAATTTCCCTGTTTGCTCTGCTCATTGCTGCCTGCTACTGTGTACATCAACACCTCACTTTCTCTCTCTCTGTCTCACTCTGAAAGCATTAGATTTCGTAATTTAATGCGGAGATTTTTCAGCTTGTTAAACAATTCCATTGTTTGAAAACTCAAGTTGGGCGGATTTGGGGAAGGCGAGGGAGAGGGGGAGAAGAAAAAGAGGCAGAGGTAGGAGACGCCGAAAAAAACAAAACTTTTGGGGAAGAAAGATAGAAAGCAGTGTATTAGCTTTGGATTCTCGGTCGTGGAGATGTACTGTGGTGGTGGGATTGATGGGTTGTGGGCTCATTCGATGCTTTTCGGATATGAAAGGTACTTTCTTTCTTTTCCTTCTTTGGATGAGCTCTTGATTTGATTCCCCTAATTCGCGTTTTCCTTGATGTGTGTTTTTTAAGTCAATTGTTTATGGTTCTAGTCTCCTACCCATTTCGGTTTCTTTCCAAAAGTTGTGATATTTTTTGCCGGATTCCTCCTGCATTTCATCTGGGTTTGGCTCCAATTCTTCCAAAACAGACATCTTTATCTGTTTACAGTTCCTGGGTTCTCAACCTTCTATCCCCCCATTTTCTTCTGTGTTTGTTGTATGTTGATCATGTGTTTATTGCGTGAGTTCAGAAGCTTTGGGGTTGAAATCCCGCTGCGCCTTAGGCTATGGAGAGGCAATTTGAATGATGTAATTGTTGGTCATGGTATGGGGTTCAGTGTGGTTGATTGAGGAATAGGATGAGCAAGAAGAACTGGTAATTGGGGGGGTTATGGTGTTCTCTAGATGGGTCTGATGTCGTCTCCAGAATTGGAATTCAGGGTCCATGGTTCTTATGAACTTTAGCTATATGGTGTTCAGTTCCTGACAGTACTCTAATTGCTGTTCCTTTTTTCTTCCTCTATTTGGTTCCTGTTTCTGCTGTCAATTGAAAGAGTTCCCAGGGTTTTGAGAGATAATGACACTTAAGTCTCGGGTTCAAAACTGGAAGCTTCGATTTAGTGTGAGGTTCAGGAAAATGATGAAGTGTATGCGCTCTGGGGAGCAGTTGGGAGTCGATGATATGGCTGCTTCGTCTTCTGAGTCTTTGGCAACTAGAGACTATTCAGCAAGTGGCTATTCGTCTCGGGCTGCTGAGGTTGATTCCAAGCTTGATAATAGCAACATTGAAGAAGCAGAGTCGTCCCTTCGTGAGAGTGGGTTTCTAAATTATGAGGTACAGTGTGTTGAATCAAGTTTTTCTTTAACAAGTTCATGTTCTAGGCAAAGAATGATTAACAACCCCTTGGTGAGTAGCAGAAGAGCATCGTTGTTGTCATCTTATAACAAATAGCAGGCGGCATTCTTGACTTGGATAGTGCTTGCTCAGTTTATAACATAGTTTTGGTTTTGAATGAAGAAATCTTGTGGCAGGATTCATCTTTCTACTATTCATGATGCTAATTTTGGCTTCCCCCAAATTTTTAGGAAGCAAGAGCATTGTTAGGGAGGCTGGAGTATCAAAAGGGAAATATTGAAGGTGCACTTCATGTCTTTGAAGGAATAGACATAGCTGCAGTGACTTCTAGGATGAAAGTCGCATTATCTAAGAAATTGGATCATCAGAATAGGCGCCGGTCCCAAAGTGATCCTGCTCCACCCATGTCCATGCATGCCATCAGCTTGCTTCTCGAGGCTGTTCTTCTCAAGGCAAAATCATTGCAGGGTCTTGGAAGGTTTTCAGGTATAATTCATCATCTCTCATTTGACTTTCAAATTTCTGGTTTAAATGTTTTGCTATGTTTTGGTTCTTATTCCTAAGATTGGAACTGGTACTGTTTGCTTTGCTCATTTTCATTTTTGTTATGTTTTGTGCAGAGGCTTCCCAGTCTTGCAAAATAATTTTGGACACTGTTGAGTCTGCATTGCCAGATGGTGTATCAGAACAAGTTGCTGCAGATTTCAAGCTGCAAGAGATTCTGAACAAAGCTGTTGAGTTGCAACCTGAGCTGTGTAAGCTTGCTGGGTCACCTGAAGAAGCTATAGTAGCGTACCGACGTGCCCTCCTCTATTACTGGAATCTGGATACAGAAACGACTGCTAGGATACAGAAAGAATTTGCCATTTTCCTTTTGTATAGTGGGACGGATGCAATTCCTCCAACGTTGCGTTTCCAAATGGAAGGTTCTTTTGTCCCAAGAAACAACATTGAAGAGGCAGTCCTTCTGTTGCTGATTCTGTTGAGAAAATTTGCTCTCAGGAAGATCGTATGGGATCCAACAGTCATGGATCATATATCTTTTGCATTATCTGTCTCGGGGGACCTAAGGGCGCTTGCTTATCAGGTGGAAGAGTTGCTTCCAGGGACTACCGAAAGGCAAGAGAGATTTTGTACTTTGGCTCTTTGCTATCATGGAGAAGGTGATAATGAAGTTGCCCTAAATCTTCTGAAGAATTTCCTGAAGGACAGAGAGAGTAAGAACTGCAACATGGAACTATTGCTTGCTTCTAAGATATGTGCAGAGAATTCAATGCAAGTTGATGAAGGGATTAATTATGCATGCAGAGCTCTTTGTGACCCTGGAAGATGTGTCCAAATAGCAAGCATTAGTAACTGCCTCTTGGGTCTTTTACTATCGAATAAGTCAAGATTGGTTGCTTCTGATTCCGAAAGGGTTGTAAAGCAGTCTGAGGCAATTGAGAAGCTTGAACTTGCAGAGCGGACGATGAAAGAGAAAGACCCGTATGTTGTATTTCATCTGGCGCTAGAAAATGCTGAGCAGAGGAAGTTAGATGCTGCACTGACTTATGCAAAGCAGGCTTTAAGACTGGAAGCTGGGTCTTCCACAAAAACTTACGTGCTTTTGGCTAGAATACTGTCTGCTCAAAAAAGGTTTGTTGATGCTGAGACTGTGATCTGTGCTGCTATAGATCAGACCGGTAGGTGGGATCACAGTGAGCTGCTGAGAACAAAGGCGAAAATCCAAGTAGCACAGGGCCACTTAAAGAGTGCAATTGAGACATACACTCACCTTCTTGCCATTCTCCAAGTTCGAACTAAAAACTCTGGCATGGAGAAGAAACCTCACAAGGTATGGTGACTTACTTGGCACTCTTTATGCAGTAAGAATGACAATGGGGTGGCTATCTTAATAACACACCCTCACCGCACTAAGCATGTTCTGGTTGGGAAATATCCGTGAGACACAGGTCAGCTCATTCCGACATGTGACTGGAAAAAAAACATATGCAAACATCTCAATTTAAATATGAAAAGTTGTGAGAAAAGGCTTTCTGAATAAGAAGGGAATGGAATTACATAACTAATGACCCCAAATTATGAAAGAGATGGAGGCTCGTATTAAGTCATAGCTGTATTAATTTATAGAGTAATTAAAATAGCATAGATATGAGTAATATACTCAGACCTAACAAAAAAGATATGAGTAATATTAGAGAAGGATGACTGTTGAGATAGACCAGACCAGCCTATTGTCATCCCATTATGCAGACACATTGTAATTGAAGTATTTTCTTAAGGACAAGGGTGATAGGATATTGGAGATAAACTTTTTCCCATGTTGATTCTTGCAGAGTAGCAGGAACAGTGATAGGAAGCTGGAGATGGAGACCTGGCATGATCTAGCTAACGTATACACGAGCATGTCTCAATTGCGAGATGCTGAGGTCTGCCTTTCGAAATCCATGGTTATCAACCCGTTTTCTGCGTCACGATGGCACTCCACAGGTAATCAGTTTCTTCTCACAAACCCTCCATTTCCCTCCCTTTCCAAAACCCTCATGGTATTACCAATTTCTTCTACAGGCGTACTGTATGAGGCGAAGGGAATGCACCAAGAAGCACTGGAAGCATATAAAGCAGCATTAGATGCCGAGCCAACCCATGTCCCGAGCCTGATATCCACTGCTTGTGTCCTCAAATGCCTCGGGGTCAACTCATTGCCGGTCATCAAGAGCTTCATCACCGATGCCCTTCGATTCGACAAACTGAACCATTCTGCATGGTACCAGCTTGGATTGATCAACCAGGCTGATCCGAGTGCATCAGCAACCGATGCCTTGGAATGCTTCGAGGCTGCTGCTATGCTGGAAGAAACTGCACCTGTGGAACCATTCAGATGACCCCGGCTAGGTGCAGCTTTGTGGCGCTCTATAATTAAGCACAGTTAAGGTGTACATTGTAACTTTGAAGATGCATTTCCCCCCATATAATCTGTCAGGCATTAGTATATGATGATATACATATTATAGTACCAAATAGAAGGGGAAAAGAAAAGAGGAAACAATGATGAATCAATATTTGGCATTGTTGTCTATTTTTCACAGGTTTGAGTGATTTATTTAGTTCCCCTTTTGTTGTGAAATATTTGGGTAAATTGCATGGTTGGTCACTCAAATTATTAAAAACGTTCATGTTTGGTCACTAAAATATTTAATTCTATTCGTAGTCACTCGAATTAATCTAACAGTTCAAGTTTGGTCACTCTCCGTTACCTTCCGTCAACCTCCGTTAACGCCGTCAGTTTTTTGCTGACGTGGCTAACAGAAGTACCTAATCAGCTAATTTTAACTATAAAAAAAATACCTAACCTGCCACGTCATAAAATCAGCACCCAACCCATTCCAACCCTTACAAAGTACCCAACCCATTCCAACCCTTACAAAGTATCCAACCCTTACCCGACCCTTCCTCTTCTTCCTTTAGCTGGTCTAACACTCTAACGGCAAAAGGAAAAAAATCCCTACTTCCCCAAAATCAGATCCGCCTCTGGCTCTCTTTCTTCCTCCCAGTCTTATCATTTCTCATCCACTCTGACTTTGCCTCCGCCTCCGCCTCCGCCTCCCTCTCCACTCCCTCAATTCTAAGACAAATCGAGGGTACAAATTTGCACTGTTCATCGCGACACTGGCGGAGGTTTTCAACGGCCGATTCATCCCCCTGCTCCTCCGGCGGTGACTCAGTGAAATCCGGCCGAGAGATTGGGAGGTGATGAGACCGCAGCTCTCTGTCGTACGCCAACGCCTCATGGAGGATTTCCACGGCTTCGAACTTGTCGGTTTGTTCTGGAATCGGGCGCTGCCAGAGCTTGATTCCCCATGGATTGAAGAAGGTCGGCTTCAAGGCGGAAAGCCTGACGAACCACAGTGACATCTTGGAGTCAAATTCTTGCGATTTTGCTTTTCTAGTCGACAAAAGGATTTTAGGATTTTCAATTTCGGCAGCGGGGAGATGGCGGAGTTTACCGAGGACAAGTCAAAAAAAAGTGGAGGGAGATTTCAGGGTTGCTGTTACTGCTGATATCTCCCCCGCTAACACGAGGTGAGGATCTGGAATTAGAGATCCCAATCAGTCCTAATCCAGTCCCACATGTCCCAATACTCTCTTTTGGGTAGAATGAAGGATTCCAAACCAATTAGAGAAAAAATTGGTTTTGTTGTCGAAGCCGTGAAAGCCATTCATGGAGTCGTTTTTGTTGAAATTGACCTAGTCGTAGATCTAGCTACCCGCGCATTGTTTAAAAATAACAAACCCAGATAATCATTACATTCCAACCTGGAATCTCGTGGTTTGCCTCAACAAGACTCCATCGACGGCTGCGTCAACGGTGAAATCATGTTGTTCTTCACGAGCTCTAAGTCGGAGCAGGAGATGGTGGAGATAATAAAAGCTAGAAAGAAGATCGGAGGTGGCTGGAGGTCGGGTTGATTGCAAGTGGAATGGAGGTCGACGAGCGAGGAATCGGAGGTGACTAGAGCGAGGAAGTTGCTATAGTGGAGGAGGAGGACTCTCTGGCGGAGATGGAGGGAAGAGGGGGGTTCATGGCGGCGGAAAACTTGGGGAACTCTGGATTTGGGAAAGAATCATCGGAATCAAAGTCTAGTGGGCTTGTTGCGGGTTGGCCGGCTGGGTCACAGTTGGGAAGGAATGGGTTGGGTTAGGAAAATGACAAGGCAATTTTTAATGACGCGGAGGGTTGAATTTGGTGATGTGGCAGGTTAAAATTAGGTTAGTCAGCACTTCTGTTAGCCACGTCAGCAAATGACTGACGGTGTTAACAGAGGCTGACGGAAGGTAACGGAGAGTGACCAAACTTGGACTGTTTGATTAATTCGAGTGACTACGAATGAAATTAAATATTTTTAGTGACCATACATAAACGTTTTTAGTAATTCGAGTGACCAACCATGCAATTTACCCGAAAGATTTCTTCAGATAAGCAGATGTATGATTGATAACAGAAAAGAATGGGTGTAAATTTGTATCAGAATCCAACAACCTTTGTGCCCTAGATAGACTATTGTCTCGATGTCGACAGTATCTCCACAATTATCCAATCGAAATTGTCATTATGATCATATGGCTAAGGTTGACTTTGCCAATTTCCTTCATTAATACAGCATCAAGATTGAAATTTCTGATGATACACATTAAAATGTCGTTTTATTTCTCATCCTATACAAACCCTAAAAAACACGAACCACATACAAATTGAGCAATAAAAGATCCCAGAAGAAGATAAGACAAACGAGGAAGTCAATTTTGGCCAACGCTCTCACCACGTCACTGATGTGTCATATCATGTCGGTGATCATAACACTTGTACCTTAAACGTTATAGTAACAAATTTAATTTGTATTTATTCATTTTTTTACAAATTTTTATATGATACAAGTTGTACCATTAACTTTAACGTTATGATATAAATGGTTTATACCTATACCTTTACAAATTCTTTTATGGTACAAATTGAGCGTGTACTTTTATCGAGCTAGTATTTTTAGGGAGTTGCTAAAGGTCGCCCTTAAAATTGCTAAATGTCGCCCTAAAAAATATTAAAGTTACAAATTTAACCTTTTAGCTTCTTTACTTTCCCTTTAGCAAACAAACACCACTTAGTAAAAAAAATAAAATATTATTCAAAAGAGAGAATCCATCATCGCCATTCTGGAGTTGGAATCGTCAATAGGACGTCTGGATCATGACTAGCGACTCTTAATCGGTAAAGTTCACTCCAAAAATTGAAAAAAAGGGAACCGTAGCTCATTTGCGGTTGGTCCATGGTGCAACCGCAAATGAGCTACGGTTGGTCCATGGTGCAACCGCAGCTCACTTGCGGTTCCACCATGGGCCAACCGCAACTCACTTGCGGTTACACCATGGGCCAACCGCAAGTGAGCTGCGGTTGCACCATGGACCAACCGTAACTTACCTTAGGTTGAGCGTTTTTTTTGGAAATTTTGGTAGAGAACGGGCGACGACGGCGGCGGGAAAGGCGCCGGCGGACTGGTGCGTCGAGAGGGATTCACGAAGAAAGCAGATGAGGCGTTCAATTTGAGGAGTTAGGGATTGTTTAAATTTTAAAATTTTATTGGGAGTATATAAGTAATTTATCATTAGAGTTAGGGCGGCCGTTAGCAATTTTAAGGGCGACATTTAGCGATTGGGTTTTTTTTTACCTAAAATGTAATATCTTGATTATAGTTAAGAGTTAACACATAATAAACTTGCAGATTTACTATAAAGGGGTGGAAATCCTTGGAGTAGTGAAATGGCCTTAAACATATTTGATCCTCATTATATCATTAGCTTTCAAACCCACTTAATATTGAGATTATTATATCATCACAATGGCAATATCACAAATAAGCGGACTTGTAAATAAGGTTCCATCTCGACCAACATTGTCATAATGATCACGCGGCTAAGATTAACTTACCCAATTTCCCTTCTTTACTTCGGTTGTAAATTTCTGATGATACTCATTAATATGTCATATATGTGCCATTTCTCTTCCTATATAAACCCTCCAATCCTAGTACTAAACCCCAATAAGAACACAAACCACACACAAAAGCAAGAAAAGATAGAAAAAAAAGAGAGAGAAACGAGGAAGTCAGCCATGGTCAACGCTCTCACCACGTCATCGCTGCTTCTGGTGCTGCTCGTGACGACAACGCTTGTCGGAGCTTCATCGGCATGGAGCCTGTGGCCGTACAAGCATGTCCACGTAAGCAATGAGCTTGCCACGTACAATGGCGCCCTGCACGTTCACTGCTGGTCCAAGAACGACGACAGAGGGTTCCAGGACCAAGCCCAACATCTTCGGGACGACCAAGTGGATGTGTGAGGTGTCCACCGACGATGGTCGTCGTGCTAGCTTCGATTCGTATTGGGAAGATCTGGGCGAAGGGAGGAGGGAGCACAAGGAGAACATTTTCTGGGTTGCGGAGGAGGACGGTGTTTATCTTAGAATTATTCAAGAGAATAGAGATCAATACTGGGCAAAGTGGCAAATGCAGTAGGGTTTTTTTTTAGAAGTATTTTCTAGTTATTTGTGTTTGAATAAGGTCGGAGCTATATAGCTCACATTAGCTTAGGTGAAATTAATGTATTTCTTCCACATCGAATCTTTTCATATTAGCTTAAAATTTTATTTGTATCGATGTTGTTAGTTAGTTTCTTTATGTTCGAATAAGGTCGGAGCAATATAGCTCACATTAGCTTAGGTTAAATTAATGTATTGCTCTCTTATCAGATCATTCCATAATAGCTTACAAAATTAATTTGTATCAATGTCTCTGCCACGGGACTGTGCCACCCAAATCCCTAGGGCCGCAACCTCGTCTCCTCTCAACGATGAATCGGATGCGGCAATATGTATGTGGGATGGGGCTACAAGAAGAGGGTCACACTCTGCTAGGGATGGTGGAAACCCTTTTGGTACAAGGGGTCCAGTTTTTAGGCATTGACGACCCAATGGTGGCAGAGTTGCTTACACTTCGTGAGGCTGTGTCCTGGGTCATAGGTCTTGGTTTTACGGAAATGAGGTTTGAAGGTGATGCTAAAGTGGTGATTGAGAAAATTTTGCGTGGTGATGCTGGTGACAACCAAGTGGGGGCTATTTTGGAAGAAGTTATTCGTTTGCTTGGTTTGAGAACGGGTTTTAGTTTGCGATTTGTAGGTCGGAGTAGCAATAGGGTAGCTCATGTGGTAGCTAGAAAGACCTTGTCCTTGTTCCCGACGCAAGTTGTTTTTTTTATTTTCAGTCCTGACTAACCTCCAGGATGTAACTATCTATATTTCAATCTACATATGCAAAAAAAAAATTAAAAAAAAATTCTTTGTTAGAGAGAAAAGGAAAACTAGAAATTTGATAAATAACTAAACAAGTTTAATCAGGTAGGTTTGGTGGGAGAAACACATAACATCATTTAGCCCGGCCCAGCACAGCCCAAAAGGCCTTTAGTGGAAATAAATTCCAAATATAGAAATCCCGGCCCAAATTTTCTTTCTTCGTGGAAAAGTTCCCTCCCTTTCTAACCCGGGAAAATTGAGTAATAACCGTCCATAAACCCTAGAGAGAGAAACCGAGGAAACGATTTCTTGTCCGGCTAGCCAGCCTGATCATGGCCATGCCTTCGTCCCAAATTATTTCTTCCCTCGCTTCGCTTCCAGCTCCTAGAATCCAGACTTGCGCGTCGATTCTGGAAATTCAATCTCTACTCTGGGTTGCGGTGGGTTTGAAAATCCAGACTTGCGCGTCGATTCTGGAATCTCAAATCTCTACTGCTTCTCCATTTTAACACACATTTTCTGCGCTTACTCTGGGTTGTGGTGGCAGTATAATTTTACAACCTTCCGTCGAACTTGATTCTGGTTTTGTTCGACCTCTATTCTAGTCTTAGCTTGAGCTGGCATACTAGCCAACTTAAGTTTCTGTTTCAACGTAGTCATACTCGGTTGCTGATAACATTTTCAGATATGATGTGATGAGCTCAGGCTTCTGCTTAGAGGGAAAAGTGTAGTTGGCACTTGAAACTAAGGTCCTGCGTTAAGGTCAAGCCTGATGAAACTTCACAATATCTGTTGTGCATACAATTTATCAGAGTTTTTCAGTCATGCTCTTGGAACTCTACTTTATCCTGGTTTCTAAAGTAAGAGCTGCATGTTTCCATAGGGAGCATCGACTATATTACCTGCTCACGTTGTATTGCTGCTAGTATTCGGAAGTGATGCATTCTTATGCTTTTACTTGATTTCATTCCTGTGCTAATTCCTGTAGATGTCGATTCTCAGTTCAGCATCTCTTTTGCAGGTGGGGAACTGCCCGAGTTACTGGTTGGACTGCTGTTTCTTGTACCAGAACCTGAGTTTTTCTGGTCTTCAATCATTTTGCTTTGAATGCTGCTACTTCCCTTACATCTGCTCGGATATATCATAGCTAAGTGGTTCTGGATTATCTTAACCAAAGGCAGGGTTTCATCCCCTGTAATTTTTGTTCAAAACGGGTAAAAAGTTCTAATGTTTGTCAAGCAATTCGGGTGCCTGAGACAGGATTCTTGAAAACTGACATTGTGCCTGCCTTCTGCTATTGTTGGATGAAGTCAGAAGACATGCCGCTGCTGATGGAACTGCACTAGTTAGAAGCTTGTCACAAGGATCTTGTATACTTGTTGCGCGGCAAATGTATGAACAAATTCTGTACCAGAAGCCTTGTATATATATGATGGAAGTTCTTTTTGTAGTTGGGGAAGCAAGCTTTATACATCATGCATATACAAAGACAAACAACCTTGTTGGCCGTTTTCTGGTCCTGAAAACTTCACTGTTGTGTGATCAATGGTCTCGGGCGTTCGTTTTAAGGACATGTAAAGTTTGAACTTAGTAAAATTCTTATCCATGGCATTACGAGAGTTTTACTTCTTTTCAATCACTGGATTGGTAAAAGCCATACATATAGTTTCAGGACAACTTTGATACTGTTGAGATACTCTTTGAGATCCATCTACAAGACAACAATAAGTGGTGATACTATATCGGCATTTACATGTATAGCTTCTTCGGAGCAGCTTCAAGGGATGGGTATGTTGCGTCGATTGAGATTGAGGCGGTTGCAACTTTGTGAACTGAGTGTAAGTCTAAGCTTGAGAGGTCCCAGTACCATTTTTCTCCATTTCGCGTTGTCTTGCGCGCTCCATCTTCCTCTTTCGCCATTCTTCTAGAGCTGGAGAAACTTGCAAAGTGTTAGCAACGCTCAACAATATCCAAAGCATGGGTTTAAGAAACAAGAGAACAAATATAAGTCCAGAATCTGGGGTTTCCTTTGGAGATGTCCAGAAATCCAATTAAATAGGCCATTAGTTTTGCCAACATCACCCATCACGCTCGAAGGAAAGATCATTGCCTTTGCTCGTTTTTTGAAGCAACACCAAATCACTGGGGAGAAAGATAGAGCAGTCACCTTTGAAGCTGGCGGGATCATTGAGGGCGCGGGAATCCTTTAGTCTTTTTGAGAGATCAACAGCAGCTGTTTGTGTTGTGGTCTCTTTTTGCTGAACAGTTTCGAGTTCTGCATAGGCTTCTTGTTTAATTTCCTTCACCTGAAAGTGCAGGAAACTCTTTTTAAAGTCTTGGAGAAAAGCAAGTGAAAAAGTTTCATAGGGTGAACTACAGATCGAAGCTATCTCCTCCCATCAGCATCATGTTTGAATTATTCATATCTTCATATCGACAAAACATGAAATAGCATCTGAACTCAATAAGAAAATAAAAATAATGCAATGATCCATGAAAACCGAAGCATTTTCAGAAGTTTCACATGTCATCGCGGGCTTACTCTTTTGATTAGCTCCCAAGGTTGCATGGCAAGGCGAGCCTCTTCAGAGTCCTTGATCTGTTTCAACTGAACTGCAATTCAAATTGCTGTTTCACATTAGATGAGACGGAACAGGGACTGTATTGTGATATCATAACAAACTAGAAGCTGAAAGAATAGACTTTTTATACTGAAAACCAGCAACGCTAACATTCAACTTGGATACTCTTCCACTTAAAAGAAAAAGACCCTCAACAGCAGCAAGTCCGGCTCGCCAAATGAACAGTCACAGAAACATGTAACTTTAGTTACTCAATAAATACGGAATGAAAATCAGAACAGTGCCACTGATCATGTAAAGACACCAGCTATGACCATCAATCATCATATTGACTAGGGAAACCTCAAAGTAGAAACCAAAGTATCTATGCTGCTCTGACAAATATGATTTATGACCAAAGTGATCAATAAGATATACATAGTCTCAAGTGCTGGCAACCAATACAGCACGGCACACAAACATTGCAACGAGCTTTTCATTATGCTGATCGTTATCTACAGGATGTTCCACGGTTCATACGGGTGGCCAGATCAGTGTCATCTCTAGCATCTGGTTATGCTGACACTGCAAGCTAGAAGCTAAGAACCGTAGTACAGTACTTATAAAGAGCTGCTGACTTATATCAAGCAGGCAATGTTAACAATTGTAGTGGACGCCTGATAGCTAGCAACGGGAGAACTCAAAAACAAGAAAGGAAAGGTCGCAGACTTGGGTAGAAAACACCAACAAGCCTTATGGGGCGGAGCTTGAAGATACTGTAAAGGGATGACAATCTAAAGTTGGAAACTGGAATTCCCGACAGAGCTGCACTTCCAGCAAACAGATTTTGCAGGGAGTTCATCCAATCGCTGGATTGAAACTGAAAACCCTAGAGCTACCCTAACAAGCAGAATTCCCCTATTCCCATCGAGTTCCATGGGAGAAACTGCCGTGGACCAGATGTAAACGTTCAAAAAGGACCAAACTTTGCCTCTCGCGTAAACCCTTCATCATCACTACTTCCCCAGCAGCAGACTCTATCCAATTCAGAGAAGGTAGGAGATCGGATACGACGAACGTCGACGCCGATCAGTTAAACAATCGATCACAAGAGGATCTCTTCCAATCAAAACTAGCACACACCCGCTTGATATTACAGTTCATCCGAGTCACCCAATAGATTGAGGAAGCGGAGGAGAGAGAGAGGGACCTGAATTGAATTGGTTGCGGGAAGAAGAAGCTCCGCTGCGGGATATGGTACTGGAGAGGAAACCCTGAAGCAAGAAGAGGACGGCGACGACATTCAGCACAGTCAGTACTATGGTAGCGCTCTTGAACGACAATCTCGGACGCCATGGTTGCTGCATTTCCATCGCTCTTTTTTAGTTCCTTCTTCCTTCTTCACCTTTTGTTTCTATCGTTCGTTTGATGCACGGCTGTCTCAACCTCTCAGAAGAATAGCTGAAGCCAAAGAATTTGATGAAGCCAACTGGTCAAATTGCGTTTGGGAGAGCATTTTGTGGAACTCATTTCTTTTGGGTTATGTGCGGATTCCCGGTCGCAACTCGTGTTACATTTTAAGTGTTCGTATAAATAAATACAAGTTTATTTGCGAGAAAATTAAGATATTTTGTCATATTATATCTATTTAATTTAGGTTATGGTTTGGGTTAACAAGATATACAGTTTGAGAGAACAACATATTATGGATGGGTTAATATATATAATGAAGAGTAATGATTTATAAAAAATTATAGACACATGTTGAAACAAATTGAACTTCGTCAAGATCCAACACAACAATTTTTTCTGGATTTTGATGTCTTTTCGCTTTGTTTATTTGTTTGCAATTTTTATTAGCTATATAATTTTGTTATTACTGGGTTGGATTTTTACTTAAATCAGAGCCAATCCGACTCACGATCATAAACAAACTGTAGGACTCTAATTTAATAAGGATGGATTAGGATTCGGTATCTTCAAAACTGGCGCGTGTCTGAATTGGGTGATTAAAAATAACTAAATTCGCGCCAACTGACTCATATATAGCCCTAATTTTGAGTTGGATATTTTAAAATAACCGAGCATTTGATTAGCTATGCGATTTACTGTAATTCCCACGAGAGCGTCTATATAACAGCGAACAGTAAAAGTAAAACATACTCTTTTATCGCTAATTTGATTAGGTACGTATTATTGTCTCTGGTTGTAGTCCATTTTGTAATTGAATCCTTATAATGCACTCCTTGAGCTTAAATTTAAATCTTGATTCTTACCCCAAAAAAAATTAAATCTTGATTCCCACTGTTTTCCGAACAGTTAATTTAAGTAATTAACGAGGAAAAACATCAAAGAAACAAAAAAAAAAACGAGACCAAAAATATGAAGATGACAAAGAGTTTGAATAAAATGGGGTAAATGAGCTAACATACGCCGACCTCCCCTAACATCCACCCTGGGTGCGTACTTCCTTATCCTGCACCGCAACCTCCCGGCCCAAACCGGCCTTTTCAGTATGTACAAAATACCTTTCGACGCTGCCTTTTAAGTCTTTAACGTACGCACCCAGCGCTCTTTAAGAAAAATGGAAAATTAAAATCTCCACCCTGCTCAAATAGAAATGGAGCTGGCCTTGTCCCATTTTTGTGTCTTAGCCTTCTTCTTCCTCTTCGCCGCGGCGGCGCCGCCGCACACGATCGTGAACTGCAACCCGCAAATGTTCGTCAAGCACGTGAATCCACCTTCCCCCTTATCTCCCTTCCCGTGCTTTACTACACTGCCGTTACCACCGCCGCTGACCACGCTGCTCCCGCCCGGCCCGCTGACCATGCTGCTCCCGCTGCCGCTGCTGCTCGCCGGATCGCTCCGGACCTCGCTCCCGGCGTAACCCGCCGGCAATTCCGTCTGCCACCGCTCCAATTTCGATTGCAGGCCCTCGATGCTGCTCTCCAGGCTCCACGAGCCCATCTCGTCGCTCTCCGTCCCATTCTCAGATCTGTAATTTAGGTTTCGGAACTTCGCCACCGTCGCCGCCGCCACCTCCGACGCCGACGGGCCCAGCTCCGAGTTTGTTATCGGCGCGCGGCCCATATACGGATTCTTCACCATAGAGGAAAATCCGTCCGATGACGAGCTTGTATCCGACCCGTGAAGGAATCTCGCACCCGGCGGTAAGGGCATCGGATTTGGCTTGTTGTTCTTCATCAAGCCGGCGACCTCCGATTGGCTGCCTCGGGATTCGGGCTGACGGGGTTTGTTGAATTTGCCGTTCCGGTAACTCTCCAGCCCGCTCAACATCGATCCGGCTTTGGATCTGCCGATTTGATTGTTCTTCCCCTTCCCCGTGGGCGGCAGATCTAGGGTTGAGCTGGAATCGCTCTTGGTCCGCCTCAACTCGGGGGTAGGGATCCAGGGGAGAAAGAATTGCTTCTTGTTAGGGATTGAGGAATACAAGCTGCTTTCCCCATCGCTGCTGCTCTCATCGTCGCCCTTCTTGCTGTTCTTCTTCTTCCCGCCCATCAGATCCCGGTACCCGACGGCGGAGGACCCGGAGTAGAGCGGCATGCTCCGCATCGAGCTGTCGAGCACGGCGACGCCGACGTTGAGGAGGCCCTGCGGGCGGCCCGACGGGCGACGGACCTGGAGCGCGAGGAACTTGTTGCCGGGTCGGAGGACCCGGTTGTTCGAGCGGGTCTGGTTCCGGGGCGGGGCGACGCTGCCGACGAGGACCCGGACCGTGCCGACGAGGACGTCGCGGAACCAGTGGGCGGCGTAGATCTCGATCGTGACGGCGGAGGTGTCGCTGTAGAGGAACTCCTCGTCGACCCGGAAGACGAACTTGTCGTTCCACGTGGGTCGGTTGTGGCCCAGTGAGTCGACCCGGGTGGATAGCTTCCGGTTCGGGTGGACCCAGGCGACGGCGTAGGTCTTCATCTTGCGGGAGGTCTGGTGGAGGTCCTGGCCGGACATGATTGTGAGCTCCAGGAGCTGGAACGGGTTCAAGATCCGAGACATGGCTGCGACGGCGACGGCGACGGCGGCGGCGGAGGCAGATGGGAATTTAATTGAATTAAACGAGAGGATGGACGCCCTGGTCTCGCCGTCCGATCAGAGGACGACGAGCGAAGGTGGCCAGGGGCATCAACTGTGGGAATCAGGTGGAATGGGAAGGAAAGGGGATGGGGAGGCATTTTGATGGAAAATCTGGTGGTTGCCATGGCTGTACCTTTTTTCTTCATTTTTGGAGGTTTTGCTATTTTTGGCGCGAACTTCTTGAAACCGCTCCTTTCTGGGCAAAGAAAATTTGTGGAGATGACGGAAAGTCAAAGGTCAAACGGTATGAATTCTTCTTAGTGGATATCCGGCCCATGAAGGAATTCTAATCGGGCCGGAGATAAGCCCGGCCCGTTGGACTGCTCTCACCTCCCAACGGATAAGGCATTCTTTTTCCCTCTTCCTCCACAAGTGATCGATTTCCGGAAAGCATGGCGTCCAAAATTCTGCCTCAAGCGCTGCTTACGATTCCGATAAACCCCGCCGCCGCGCAATCTCCGCCGGCAAGGAGATTGGGGTTTGCTTACTCGAACAATCGCGCCGCCTTTCCCTCCTCCTCTTGCTGTTCGATTGCTCGCATTTCCGGTTCTGGGTTTTCTTCCAACTCATTGGGTCTTGGTGAACTTGTCGCGGCATTCGCCAGACACAGAGTTGTCGCCAGGGCAGAGGCGGAAGGAAGCAGCGGTGAGCCCGCGGGAGAAGAAGGAGCAGAGGTGCTTGCGGAAGCTAGTGAGGGTGTTGAAGGAGAAGAAGGGGATCCCGTGGAGGGTGGAGAAGTAGAGAAAACGCCATGGCAGCCAAGAGTCAAGCTTGGCGATGTTATGGGGGTAACTAATCTATTTATCTGCTACTTTTAATGGTAGCTATGTGGTGTTGTTTACTCTTGATTGATTGTTGTATGATGAGAAGCAGATTCAGAAGTTCAATCATAATTGTTATTTGAATTGAATTGTTGGTTGGTGTTTGAGCAGATATTGAACAAGCGAGCAGTTGAGGCATCAGAGCTTGAAAGGCCGATTCCAGATATCAGAACTGGTGATATTGTTGAAATCAAATTGGTAAGTAATTCTGGGGTTCTTCCTTCGAGGGTTTACAATTCTCTCCTCTTTGGGATAGTGTATATGGCTTTTTGTGTTTTGGTTTTTGCCATTAATTTTGCGGAGCACGGATGGATGACTTTGCAGGAAGTTCCTGAAAATAGGCGTAGGCTCTCCATTTACAAGGGCATTGTCATGTCGAGGCAAAATGCTGGCATCCACACTACTATCCGCATCAGAAGGATCATTGCCGGCATAGGTGTTGAGATTGTCTTCCCCCTGTAAGTACCTCCTTTATGATTTACACATTCTATTGCTTGGATCATCAGTTAATGGGGCTGGTTCAGTATGTTTGATCTCATTCTGCCATTACTATCCATTGTAGCTAAATGGTTCTGGATCTGAAATTGCCGTGAACTTATCTTTACCTAGCTTCTGAAAAGCTGGTGTTATGAACATGTCCTGTCTGCTGTGAGACACAAGCTGTACGAGTCATAAATTTAGCCTTTTCTTAGGGGTTTTGTCCGACATTGTTACGTTATTTCCATAGTACGATCATATTTGTAACTGATAATTATAGGCTATGGATAATGAGTAGTGATGTCGAACAAACAAAGCACAGACATATGACAGCTAGTTATGAGCTATTTTTGGCTTTGGCAGAGTACCATTATGCACACTTTAAGCTTGGCTAACAAACTCCTAAAGCATCTCTACTTAAGCGCTTAGGCTTATGTTGACTTCACCTTTTTGATTGAAACCAGCTAACACTTGTGGGAAGCGAGAATTCTTACTTGGTATGGTAATTTGCTCAGTAGGCTAGAAAAAGATAGAGTCAGGCAAGGTTTTGTCACTATCAGTAAAGCTGCATTATTACATCTTTGTTGGTGTTCCCTTCTGCTTTAGTGTTATTGATACAAGTGTTTTACGTTGTTAATGTGCAGCTACTCACCAAATATCAAGGAGATCAGGGTAGTTTCTCACAGAAAGGTTAGGAGGGCAAGGTTGTACTATCTGAGAGACAAGCTTCCTCGGCTTTCCACCTTCAAATGAAGACCATCACCACATCAGTCTCCCTTCTGCAGTTATATTGTTGTAGGTTCTTTCAATCCTCCTCCTATGCAATCCCTGGCCTCCCCCCCGGCTTGTTTGTAAGAATTGAGCTGTCCTCATCTCCATTTCATTCTTTTGTCAAAGGAAACATTGTTTTGTAATGCCTGGCCGGTCGAATCGACCTCACTGTATGCAAAAGCAAAGATCATATGCCAGATTGCAGTTCCTGTATATCATCTGAGGCTCTCTTAATGTCTTGGATCTGGTTTCCGTTTCTGTATCCTTTTCCTCTCTTAACAGAGACACAGTCCGTCTTTGTCAGAGAGTCTACACTAATCTATCAATGGCTGCTTAACAGGTGTAACCCTGCAGAAGGTTACACGTATCTATTGATCTAATGATTAATGAAATGCAATGGGTAAAATAATGGCAAATCAGGAGGCCATGCCAATAGAATAATAAGACAATGGGCGCCCATAAAATCAGAATACCCTGATCCTCCTTAACCTAGTTTGGTGAGCTATCTATCGTTTCAAGAACCAAACTAAAGTTATCCTCTCAGCATCTCTCTGTGTTTTCTGCAATCTTTTTATCTTGTTTAGTTAGATGAGACACCATCATTACCTGTTTTGTGCGCATTTTGGGTTGGAGTGAGAAATCAGTTACCTTCTCCCCTTTTCCAAACACCAAGCCAACACCATCACCAACGTGGTCTAGATCCGGCATCCATGGCATTCTGCTAATCTATGATCCTCTCTCTCTCTCTCTCTCTCTCTGTAAACTATACAGACTCACTCTCCCAATGGGAAAACGTAGCCTCCACCATTCTGGAAATGTCAACCAGGAACCACTAAAGCCATATTTCGCCCCCTCAATCTTCCTGTGAGTTAGCAGTCAATGGTGTTCAGATTCAGATCGATTGACTAAAGATCATATGCATCCTGCTGCAGTTTTCACTTTTTAGTGTAGTCATCATAAAGCAAAGCCACCCAGCACCAGGCCACCACCCCTCCATTCTGTCAACTAGTGACACCTCAATGGTTTGACCTGCTGCTGCTGCTGCTGCTGATTCTTAGAAGAAGATCTGATCTTTAGATCCAAACAAACAAAGAGCTTCTTTTCTTTCTCCTCCATTGCCAGCCGTAAGGCCAAAAAGGGGAGGGAAGCAGGATTATCAGCCAGGTATTAAAGATAGCTAGTTAACACCAATCTTCGATCAATCAGTATGCTTCTGAGGACGTCGTCAAGCCCAGGAATAAAAGGAGCAGTCTTTACTGTCTTTTCAGAAAGCCCAGTAAGAGACTTCCACCATCCCACTAGTAATAGCAATTCCAGCAGCAGGCACCACCAGAAAAACACGCCACCATCTCACCTCAGCTTGCCGCCTTTCTCCCCTCCTTCTCCTTCTTCTACTTCCTCCACCAGCGGGAAGACATCTCCATCGGAGCTGAATCGAGAGTCTGGCAAAGGTGGTGGAGGAGGGTTTCGAAGGGCTTGGTCTGATAGTAACATTGACAGATTTGCAGCTTCTTCGGCTCGTGATTCCAAGCTACAACAACAGTCTCTAACTCCAAGGCGGTATCCACCAAGAAAAAGGATGCTCCACTCAGCTCCTTCCTTCTCCATCTTCACTACTACTGATGATGAAGAAGTGGGCGAAGAAGAAGAAGAACAGAAAGATGGGGTTTTGATGAGAACCGTGACCATTGGGGAGAATATTGGGAGTGGGGAGTTCAGCTTTGGGAAGGGGAAGGAAACTAGCATGGAATTGATTGAGGAAGTGGAGGAGAAGGAGACTGGAGAAGATGATGATGGAGATCAAATGAGAGGTTTGACTTTCAATAAACGTGTGGTGATCCCTCCGAGCCTGAGTGTTGTTGAAGATGAGAACCAACCTGCTAGCCCTCCCATGTATCTTGCTACTGGACTTGGGCTCAACAGTACTATTGATTTCCAAGCTACTTCATCTTTGCTTGACTTTGATGACGGTGGTGATCTGGAAGAGTATTACAGGAAGATGCTGGATCAATTCCCTACCCACCCTTTGTTCCTCAGGAATTATGCTCATCTGTTGCAGGTTACAGGCTAATCTGTTCTTTTTATTTGCTAGCTTGGATCCTGTTCTTTAGAAGTGGGACAAACTGATTCTCAACTAAACTTTTTCTGGATTGTTTCAGTCCAAGGGAGACCTCCATGGTGCTGAGGAATACTATCACAGGGCAACACAGGTGGAGCCTGGAGATGGTGAGATCTTGATGCAGTATGCAAAACTGGTGTGGGAGCTCCACCGCGATCGCGATAGAGCTATGGGTTGCTTCGAACGTGCAGCTCAGGCGGCTCCTCAAGACAGGTAATGGAACTTCTTTTGCTTCAGACTTAAACCTCAAGCGTTGTTTCTGCTGCGTATGAACCTGCAGCTGATATTCCTCAATGACTCGCACATATTGCAGCAATGTACTTGGCGCATATGCTAGCTTTCTCTGGGAAATAGATGAGGATGAGGGAGATGAAGAAGAGAAAATGGAGCAGAGAGAACACGTTCATGTACTGCTCCCCACCAATGGAGAACCTGGCAGCAAAGGAAGTTTGAATGTGGAAGATTATTATAAACAGATGGTTAGGGAGCAACCCAACAATGCTCTCGTCCTAAGAAACTATGCTCAGTTTCTTTCTCAGGTAAGGTTCTGGTTTGAATGCTGCTGAGAGGATTAAGAGGTTCAGCCTTTGGATGATAATGAGATGCCCTTTTAAGCCATTGAAGCATAGAAGTAAAATATCTGTTACTTTCTCAATTGCAGACCAAAGGAGACATGCAAGGGGCAGAGGAATACTACTCGAGAGCAATACTAGCCGATCCTAGCGATGGAGAGATCATGTCTCAGTATGCAAAACTCGTTTGGGAACTTCACCGTGACCAGGACAAGGCATCACCTTACTTTGAGAGAGCGGTTCAAGCTGCTCCTGCAGATAGGTAACCACAAAAATGATTCCCGGCGCTCTCAACTCCATAAGCTTTTTTGTTCTGTGTGTGTGTTTTGTTTCAAATGGAGGTATAGCCTTGGGCAAATGTTAATATGTGTGCCCATTTGCAGTGTGTGTTTTGTTTCAAATGGAGGTATAGCCTTGGGCAAATGTTAATATGTGTGCCCATTTGCAGCCATGTTCTGGCGGCATACGCTAGTTTCCTCTGGGAGTTGGAAGAAGATGAAGAAGCGACAGAGCCTTGTAGTCAGCTCCCCGGGTCTGTTCAACTGGAGGGTGCTAACGTTGTTGCAGCTAACTGAAGAGTGAAGAATATCGAGCTTACTGTGACAAGAGGCTGGCTCTCTTCAACCGAGAATTTAGGATCCCAGAGAAGCAGAGTCGGATCTACATGTAATCACTTGCTGCCATTTCTAAATAACTGTTGCTGATGTGCTTGGTTACCACTGAAAATAAGAAAAAGCTGATGCTTTTAGCTTTGAAGTCTGGTGAATACGAATGTTTCGCTTTTTCGGTTGCCTTTTCCATGTCGACTTTTCCCCCCACTTGATGAGATGAGCACAGGGAGGCCGAACCCAGATTCGTTCTGTATCGAATCGAAGTGAAGTAGAGTTCCACTCACCGAGTATTTTGACACACTCCACATTCCGAAAGAATGAACACCTCCGATTCTTACTGGTTTCTTCTGCAACAAATGATGCCTGAACATCAATACCCGCAGACAAAATGCTTGCTGAACAATGGGAAGAGATGGAAGAACCAATGAACGGGTCACAAACATGGACCATCTATCTCCAAGGAGTTGTTCAGAAAATCTGAATTGGATTGCCTATTTGATCTGGATGATCAGTTTGGAACAAACAAAAGGAGTAAACATCATAGGACCTCACTTTCCTAACCAAGTATGCTGCTGCTGGTGCTGCAATCTGAATGAAGATATGAATTGGATAAGAGATACTATGAGTATATCGCTATTCGATTCAGAGGTGATGCATTAAAGTTACTCCTCAAGGTTTGGCCTCAAAAAAAATTTCTTCTCTATGACTGCTGATCCTCAGCTCCAAGGACTAAGCTGTATAATCTGATGATGGTTCATTCTGCGCTGTCTTGGCGCTGAACTGGTCTGTAATATCCGTTTCCTCTTGGTGGTCTGTTGTAGTAGTCTCCATCATAGCTGGCGCCTCCCCTGCCAAAACTCCGTGAACCGAAACGGCCACGAGGGGCATCTGCTTGGTAGCTTCCCCGCCCTCTGCCTCTACCTCCTGCTTGAAAAAATTGTAAGAAGAAGCCGCCACTTAAGAAATTATTTCATCAAGTGAAACAGAAACCAGCCTATGGACAACAAGAGGATTAAGCAGAACAAGAGGCAATCACCAAGTACTGGTCAAGTATCTAGCAGGCATCACAAAACAGAAAAGACAAGTAGCAATCAGAATACATACTTCCAAATCGAGGCGGGATGTTACTGTTTGGTCTCCGTCCTTCAATGTAAACCTGTCGTCCTGCTACCTCTGCACTGCCCGCCTGAAGAAGAACAAAGAAGAACATTCGATTAAATACAAAACCAACTAAAGGGAAGAGAACTCTTGATTTTGTAAAGACCGACCTTCACTGCATTATAAACGCCATTCATGTCCTCGAATTCAACAAATGCATAACAAATACCAACATCCTGCACCAGAGACAGCATTCTATGTATAAGAGGCTAAAGGAGGACCAAAAGTTGTAATGCAAACAAGGAACGAACAGGGACAAGACAACATATTTACTGAAATAAAACAGAATTAGGGGCAGGACCTTGCGACTCCTAATGACAACACCTTCAGGTGCAATCTTGCCAAACTTAGTGAATTCCTCCTCAATCTCCTCCTCAGAGGCCATAGGTGGCAAGTTCCTCACGTATACAGATCTGATTTCATCTGATGATTAAGAAGTTAATAAAAATAATTAGAAGACCAGACAGATGACAGAATTAGACCGTACTCATCCACCACGGTCAGATCCAAATAATATCACATTCATGTAGGCCATTAAAACAATTTCTTAGCGTTTCCACACTTCATATTGGTGAGGAACATGAACAAGATACTAAACTAACCTTCATCTTCCACACCCTGAGCCTCATCAACATTGTCAGCCCCATAATTCTCAAAGGAATTGGATGTCACAGTCGCTGTCACGGTCGCCTTCTGATCAGTGGCTGGAGAGCTGTGATTCCTTTCTGAAGAGGCTGGAGGTGCTGGGTGCCCCTTAGCAACCCGCAACTGTCAGTAGAAGAAACAGATGAGCAGCTAAACAAAGTCCAATAATACATATAGCATGCATATAACTATTCATTAAAAGCAATCACAGGGAGTGTGAATGTTGACATACAATCGAGGCATAAGTGTGCTTTTGTGGTTCTTCAGCAGGTTCCTCTATAGTAGGAGGAAGATGGTCTTGAGTAGCAGCATCCATCAGTGCATTCTGATGTGAGCCATTTGATACTTCCTCTTGCTCTGCAATGTGTTCGGGCTCGGGAACTTGCTGGAACTGTTGCTGAGGAAAGGTGTAGTTGTCAACTTGGCCATTTCCCTGTGCATCGTCACTGGAAGCTACGAACTCCCTAGACTGAATCTCCCCACCAAGCAAATACTTTGAAACTGCATAAGATCACTTCCAGCATTAAAGAACGCAGAATGAATTCCAGCATATACCAAATTGCAATTGCCAGTCGTCAAAACATAACTGATGGCCAACAGATACAATGGAGAATATTAACAGCAATTCCCAATCGCAGTCCCTTATGATCAACAAATTAATGAAACGGTTAAGGCACCTGGCTCAGCAATGACGGTAGGTGGAGGAGCATTATGGAGTTTTGAATCAAGATTCCTATGAGCTGCTGCTAATACAGCCGGATAGTGGTGAATTGGCTCCTCTTCAATGAAGTGGAACACATCATTGAGAACAAAATACCCTTTCTCCTGTGGTGCCAAGAAAAACGTCTCCACAAACTTCCTAGTGCCCCCAAAGTTCTTCGACTGCAATAGACCAGACACCATCACGAGAACCCCACCACTCCAAGACTCCAAGGCATGCGCGGTCTTGATTTCAATAGCGGTGTAATTAAGTCGCATAATGAGTGAATGAATATCCTGCAAAAATAGACAGTCTGTTACAATTGAGCAAATCTAATCCAATCATTGGGGGCGTTTCAGAACAATTTTGCTATAGAAACTCTGAAAAAAGAGGCAAACCCACTTCCGCACTCAACCCATCTCATGTCAAGCAGTTCTTACCCAAAAAGCACTAAAAGTCTAGAACTACTAATAGTTGCATGATTAACAACCCAATAAAAGGGAAAGAAAGGAAAAGTTACAAGCATTGTGGAGCCGGACTCTCGGGTAACACCATCCACACGAAGCATGGAGCTGGAATCACTATAGAACTGGTGGATAAGGGCCGGTTGAGACTGCAGCACTTGATAGTATTGCCCCACAAAGTAAGTACCCACCTAAACCCAATCAATCAAGAAAAGAAGCAACCCAGTCAAGCACTGAAACAGGAGTGACGCGAAGAAAAAGTGGCGGGAGATAGAAAGAAAAACCTGAGCAGCGGTGACTGGAATAGCGTAGGGAGCAGCCATCTTTTTCCTCCTTCCCCGCCGAAACTAACAGAACGAACCCTAATCTAGTAAAGGCGGCGCCTTTCTGAAATGCCGCCCTCCCTGCAACGAGATCTGCGGTATCAATCATCCGCCGCCACCACCATTTCCGTTAGAGCGCAACAGGGAGAGCAAAGAATGAAGGAATAGAGATGGGGAAGTGAGAAATCTATAGGTAGATAACAGATAAGGTAGAATGGATAGGTACCAGGAGGGACGGAACGGGATAACGCGGCGGATTCCCTTTTGCCAAAGAAGATTGTTTTCTTCCCTTTGCCCAATGGGCGTTATCTATCTTGACGAAGAACAACGACGCTCTGCTTGCTGTGAAGTTGAGTAGTTTCTTGCTGTTGCTTATGCTACTACTGGTACTGCCGCCGCCGCCGCCATTATCAATCCGCCTCACGTTTTCTCTCGCTCCCCTCCAACCCGCTGTTATTCCTTTTTAGATTTGCACTTTTTCCTCTCAGTGGCAGCAGAAAAGGGAAATTTTTTCTTCTGAAAAAGAAAACAGGAAAAAGGGAAAAGAACCACTAGAGTGGGGCACGCACCAGCCAGCGTGGCAGGTTGGTTGTTGAGGACGATTGTGTGCCCTAGATTTTGCGTCGATAGAATAAGAGCTCTGTAAATATCACTATAATTTAAGGCTAGTGATGGTACTCATTTCTGACTTGATTCGTGCTACTAAATTTGTTTTGATATGTTTGAGTCCGTATTACTCGATTCATAGTAGTACTCGATTCATAATAGTATGGGATGGGTATGGAGATTTCTTTTGATATGTCCCCTCGTTCTGTCTTATTTTCAGTACGTTTTATACAGGGGCAGAGGCCGCTCAGAGCTTAGGGGTCATGGTCCCTAGGGAATTTACAAATAACAAAGAGTAGGGGTATTGATTTATTGTTTGACTGTAACTTAGCAGTAAAGGATGTGTCTCATAATATCAAAAAGAATTTTCATATAATATCTAACGTATATTAGAGAGAAGTTTTGAAAAAAACTTGTAGTATCCATTTTTTTAATTTGAACCTCGTTTCTTTTAGTATTTATTATTTGTACCGCTAGATATCTTGCTTTGTTTTGATTCATTCAAAATTTAGTTTTATTGACAAATATGCATCTTGAATTGTGAAAAATGACATAAATTTGCTAACAATTTTATAATAAAATTCGTAATCCTACCATGAAATTTTTAAATTTTATACGTCACTTTTTCCTCATCTTTTCAAAGTAAAGAAATGCGTACAATTATTCAATTTATATATAACTATTCGATTTACATATAACTATTCAAATTTTGCCCTCTCGTGTCAAATTCATGGCTTCGCCCCTAGTTCTATAATGATTTGCATTAATATCTACACATATCTTCTCTTTTGATTTTTGTAAAGTCATATATATATATTTATATTCAAATATTATATCTACAACATTTCTCATTCATTTATGAAGGGCTTTATATATGTGTTATTGCAACATAGTGAAATATCAATATTATTTTTTCCAAATAACATGCAAGAATGGGTCGACCCACCTCGCCCCATACCTACGTGGGTATTATTGACCTTGACTTGTGCTTAGTACGGAATAAATATGAATATTGAGGGTCTATGCCCAACAACAGGGCGAGATACCATTAGAACAATGGTTGCTTCAGCTGCTCGTCAAAGACTCACTGTTTGGCATCTGAATGTGAAGAATGCATTTATGCACGGGGACGGGGAGCTTATTGAGGATGTCTATGTTGAGATACCACCAGATTTTGTGGTTCTTGGGGAGTAAGATAAGGTCTACGAGACCAAGAAAGCTTCATATGGTTAAAGCAAGCTCTCGAAGCTTGGTACATGATGATGCTCAATTTATAGTTTTTATCACTTTCATATTTGATACATTTTCTCCTGTAGTTAATGCACATTTAGTAGATTTTATCATGTTCTATATTAAATTCGCAACTATTTGATTCGTGAGCTTACCGTAGGCTTTGAGTGTGTTTTTGTACTATTTTTTTCCTTTTGGTATTATCATGTGCTTTTAAATAACAATGACAATCAAGACGAATATGGATCACCAAGGGACTCAATGGGTCTGAAGGAGGACGAGATTAGAAGCCCTTGGGCTCAAACTAAGATGGATTTGAATATCAGATTCTCATTTTATGGCCAAAACAAGTAGACTTGACAGTGAAGCAGGACCCAACTTTGACCAAGGTCAAAACAGAGTTTGATAAGTCAAATCACGCCCAAATTTGGAGGAGAGGTTGCTTGTGGGCCAAGCAACCCATTGCAAGAAGATAACATGGGGCTCAGTAATGAGTCTGACCGCAACTCAAGATTGAGCTTCATAATCTTCCAGAAGATCCTTATTTAGTCCTCAAGTAGAAGAAACCCGAGTCCGAGTAGTACAATCAAGGTTTTGGCCGACTTATATAGGAAAAGGAAAAAATAAAAGACCCCCATATGTAGCTAGAATAAATAGAGACTTAGGCCAAAACTATAAACACACCTTTGACCAACACTTTGCCCTAAGTGCACGAGTAACAATCCCGAAAGAGAGGAGGCGAAGCCCTGTTGGAGTTCGACGAAGATTACTCACCGTAGAAGTTCTTCATCATTGTGATGTCTTCCTACTATCCTTTGTGTTGATAGTTGAAATTGATTAGATATGTGACTCTATGATGCTTTATGTACTACTTTTAGTGGTTTAATGATGATTCCTATTGTGTTCAATGATCTTTATGTTATGTGCACTTTTCGGAGAGTAGAATTTAGGGAGAAATATCGGGATAGGAAGAAGCAGAATGGGGGAAATATAGATAGTTTGAAAGAAGAGAAGTGTTCTCCTTGATGGCGAGAACGGAACCCCTAAGCTTTTTCGAGGAAAGCCAACCTCCCAAATTAACACGTAGGTGTGTAAAACCATTTTCTTGATTATACTTGATTGATGATCCTTTCCTGTAACCATCTGACACTTTAATAGAGAAGAGTAAACTAATAATCCTACAAACTAGTAAGACACCTAAAATCTAGTTAACCAATAACCCCACTAATTACCCACTAACTCACGTCACAATCCCCCCTAACAAATCATAATTAACTAATGATTATTAATTAAGAAAATGCATGTGACATTCCTTTCCCCTACGAAAGATTCTTGACCACAAGAATCAGCTATGAACTTCTCACGTCTTCCTCAGCCTGGATCTACATAGAAGATGAGCCACCATAATTGGGATGTTAGGATCCCTTCACCAACCTTTGCTTCTATAAGCAAAGGACCCCCCACGAAATAAATTGCACCCCTTGTTCCTCTTGTAGTAAACTTGGTGAGCAAGGTTGAAAACTGCAATCGTTCCCCATCTATAGAGCCATCTGGAGATTTCATTGTTGGCTTTGGTAGAGGATAGGGTGAATCTTTCAGAATCAAAACTTGAGCAGATGCATCTTCCTCAATATTAGTTTTCCCAATTGGGAGAATTTGGGCAGGAGCACTTGGAGGGACATCATGAGCACCAACTGCCAAATCAAGAGATGAATGTTGGTTCTCTTCATCGATGCACTTGAGATTGATAATGGAAGCTTGAGATTCCAATAATTTTGCGGCATTAGGCTGGTGATGAATAACCGATGGAGCTAACGTTTGGATTCTGCTGGCCGATGCACCTCTTCTTTGATTAATCCCTGGTAATTCATATTGATTCTAGGGTTCGGTGGGTCGCCGATTCCGCCATTGACAACCTGCCCGTTGGGTTTTTTCCCCACTATTCGTGCTAGTAGCAACCGATCAAATCTTGTGTTGAGGGCAGCAAAACCTTCCTGCATCACCTCTCTCAACACTGCGTTCTCCTGCACTATTGCCTCCAACATAGAATCAAGTGATTTTGCGCGAACCTCCATTGTTGTAGGATCAGCCGGCTCTGATACCAAATGTTATGTGCACTTTTCGAAGAATAGAATTGAGGGAGAAATATCGGGATAGGAAGAAGCATAATGGAGGAAATATAGATAGATTGGAAGAAGAGAAGTGTTCTCATTAATGGCGAGAATGGAACCCCTAAGCTTTTTCGAGGAAAGCCAACCTCCCAAATTAACACGTAGGTGTGTAAAACCCTTTTCTTGGTTATACTTGAATGATGATCCTTTCCTGTAACCATCTGACACTTTAAATAGAGAAAAGTAAACTAATAATCCTACAAACTAGTAAGACACCTAAAGTCTAGTTAACCAATAACCCCACTAATTACCCTCTAACTCACGTCACAATCCCCCCTAACAAACCATAATTAACTATTGATTATTAATTAAGAAAATGCATGTGACACTTTACCATCAATGTTTAAGTCAATTTATGCTTGTATTTCCTAATGTTTATGCAATTCAAGGTTTTTAGTCTTTGTATGATTTAGTTAATAAATGGTTAGGATTCTATTATATGCTACTACAGTATCGTGCTTAATATCACTGAGATTGTTAACAAATTACTCTCTCGTGGTATCCCATTGCCCTATGTGTGTATGGGAGGATTAGCTACCCATACCTGCATTGCACGGTATCAATGCTTACGTATTAGATCATCGATGATATAGAATGTGAATTATGACTCAAGAGACCCACACTTAACCATATGTTAGTTATCTTAATTCCTAGCTTCTTTTTTCTTAATTTTTTTGTCATAGAGATCTTTACGGATTATCTTAATTCGTAAAGACTTAAGATACCAAATCTTTACGGATTGCCAAATCTTCATTTTTTTTTGTCATAGAAATCTTTACGGATTGCCTCCAGCATAGAATCAAGTGATTTTGCGCGAACCTCCATTGTTGTAGGATCAGCCGGCTCTGATACCAAATGTTATGTGCACTTTTCGAAGAATAGAATTGAGGGAGAAATATCGGGATAGGAAGAAGCATAATGGAGGAAATATAGATAGATTGGAAGAAGAGAAGTGTTCTCCTTAATGGCGAGAATAGAACCCTAAACTTTTTCGAGGAAAGCCAATCTCCCAAATTAACACGTAGGTGTGTAAAACCCTTTTCTTGATTATACTTGATTGATGATTTTTTCCTGTAACCATCTGACACTTTAAATAGAGAAGAGTAAACTAATAATCCTACAAACTAGTAAGACACCTAAAATCTAGTTAACCAATAACCCCACTAATTACCCTCTAACTCACGTCACAATCCCCCCTAACAAACCATAATTAACTAATGATTATTAATTAAGAAAATGCATGTGACACTTTACCATCAATGTTTAAGTCAATTTATGCTTGTATTTCCTAATGTTTATGCAATTCAAGGTTTTAGTCTTTTTATGATTTAGTTAATAAATGGTTAGGATTCTATTATATGTTACTACAGTATCGTGCTTAATATCACTGAGATTGTTAACAAATTACTCTCTCGTGGTATCCCATTGGCCTATGCGTGTATGGGAGGATTAGCTAACCCATACCTGCATTGCACGGTATCAATGCTTACGTATTAGATCATCGATGCTATAGAATGTGAATTATGACTCAAGAGACCGACACTTAACCATATGTTAGTTATCTTAATTCCTAGCTTCTTTTCTCTTCATTTTTTTTTTGTCATAGAAATCTTTACGGATTAGCCATATAAACGCGAGGCGTGCCACAACAACTAGCCATTTCGTTATAATATGTAGTTGACTAACCACTAACCAGAGTTAGTTAAAAAGGGGAAAAGTGACTATTTGTACAAATCTCATAGTTAAGGGACCAAGTGAGCAGTTTGACTATAACACTCGAAAATAACGGTGGCGCGAAAATCTGCCTCCCCGCGAAACGAAAACGACTGTGGCGCCAAAATCATTTCACAGCCTCCTCTTCTCTTAAATTCAGCTCCCAATACCGCCTGCTCCCGACCACCAATCCATTCTCCTCCACACCGCCCGCGCCAAACAGCTATGGCTCCTTCTTCTTCTTCTTCTTCTTGGATTCCAACCCGAACCACACTCCGACGGAGAACCCAGGCTCCGAAACCCTCTTCCGCGCCCGCACTTGATGCCGCCGACGACGCTTCCTCTTCCGACGAAGAATACGACGATGTGTGCTGCCAAGAATGTGGATCCGGAAAGTCGCCGGCTAAGCTGCTCCTTTGCGACAAATGCGATAGAGGGTACCATCTATTCTGTCTCCGGCCCATCCTCGTCGCCGTTCCTAAAGGATCCTGGTTCTGCCCTTGTTGCTCCTCAAAACAAAACAAGCTGAAATGTGAGTTCGGGATTCCAAATCGCTTCCCTTTTATTTTCCCTACCACCTGCCAATTACCACTTCTAGCAGCTATTTAGCTAACTGGGTCGTTGTTCTTGTTTGACGATTCTGCAGCTTTCCCTCTGGTGCAAACCAAAATCATCGATTTCTTCCGTATTCAAAGAGCTCCAGGCCCAGTCCAGAGTGAACTAAGTCAAGGTAAATCCTTAGTTGTGATTTTTTTCAGTCGAATTGAAACTTCAAGTGAAACAAAGTCCATGAAATGACTTTTGGATTCTTAGGCAATTCAATTTATTATGCTGTGTGGAGGTGAAAAGAGAAAGGAGGAGGTTATATGCATTATGCTGTTTGTAAATTGAACTGGCTCTTGATATGCAATCTGATATGGTTTTGTCTTCTGGTTCCTTAGATTCACAAAGAAAACGGAAAAGGTCAGGGAGTTTGGTTATGTCGAAGAAGAAAAGAAAATTGTTGCCTTTCAATCCAAGCGAGGATCCTGAGAGAAGGTTAGAGCAAATGAGATCATTAGCAACTGCATTGATAGCCTCAGGAACCCAGTTCAGGGATGAGCTCACTTATCAGCCCGGTGGGGCTCCTCGCTCTGCCAATCGTGCTGCCTTAGAGAAGGGAGGAATGCAGGTATAAAGATTCATACTTTAATTGCAAAAATGAAAAAGCAAATGCAGTTAATGGTCTAATTGTTTTAGTGAATAGTGATGAGAGACTGCAGTTTGTGTCTGCTATCTTGTTGGTTGGATTGCTAATTGGAGAGACTAGCTGAAACATGTGAACCTGGCTTGGATTACAGGTTTTGTCAAAGCAAGATGCCGAAACCTTGAACATGTGCAAGCGGATGATGGATAGAGGGGAATGCCCACCTCTAATGGTCGTCTTCGATCCTACAGAAGGGTATGGAATGAAATACACATCACGAGTCTTACCAATGCTTTGATGGATTCCAACAATATCTTTTTTACTGATTGATGTTGAGGTCGCAAAACAGGTTCACAGTGGAGGCTGATAGATTCATCAAGGACTGGACTATTGTGACAGAATATGTTGGAGATGTAGACTACTTGAAAAACCGGGAAGATGACGGTGGAGATAGCATGATGACACTTCTCTCAGCTGCTGATCATTCAAAAAGCCTCGTGATATGCCCTTACAAGCATGGAAATATAGCAAGGTTCATCAATGGCATCAACAACCATACGCCGTGAGTTCGTTATGCTAGGCTTCTAAACTCCCCACTTTTACACAGCCTTTCAAAAGGAATTCGACCGCTAACCTATCTTTTTTTTCACGGTGATGCAGGGAAGGGAGGAGGAAGCAGAACCTGAAATGTGTGAGGTATTCTGTTAATGGCGAGTGCCGGGTGCTGCTGATTGCTAACAGAGATATACCAAAGGGAGAGAGGTTGTATTATGATTACAATGGAGATGAATACGAATATCCAACCGAGCATTTTGTTTAAGAGAGATCTCCTTCACAAGTTAGAACTCGCAATGTTGAAGTACTGACTTTCACAGCCAATGATGTCAGAAGTTACATCTCCAAAATCCTAAATGTATACATCCAGCAGTCCACTACTGTCCAACTAACCACAGCAATCAAACTTGCCTGAGCTTAATCCTTTTCATTAACACCTATTTTTCTCCCACAGTCATGCATTAGTTATCATGCCAGGGGCAGAATCCAAAGTCTGCCTCTTTTTCCTGTTGTATGCCTTTGGTGCCCACTTCATGAAAAAATTCTTCCTTTGATGTGCTGCTGCAAATTCATCTGTAACTCATGTAGCAGTCCTCACCAATTTGTGATCTTGAAGTTCACCATCTACCATTGCTCATGATTTCTTTCCTTCTGCCAGGCTCACCCTTATGGGTACCCCTATTTCCTACATCAACAAATGAAACACCCATCACCAAGCTCATTCAAGAAATTAGCACCGTTCCACAACATCACATAATATGCATTAGACCATCAAACATCGTGGTCTTGTTACCAGTCCATTAAGAGCTTCAAGAGCTGTTTCCATACCTGATTTGGTGGTGTAGCAAACGAATCCATACCACCTCCCGGTCTCCCCATCGTACAGCACTCTGATGCCAACTAGATTGCCATAAGGTTTGAAAGCTCCTGTCAAGCTCTCTGACGTGACGGACCACGATAAGTTACCAACAAGTAGCTTGTGTTCTGTCTCTGGGTGAGGTTTGTCTGAAAAGTTCACTCTCAAGATCCTACCCATGTATTGCTGCAGAAAATGATACAAAATATAAACCGTACAAGCATCGTTGATCTCTCAAGTGCAAGATCGGGGATCGTTCGCTTAGGCCGTCATGTTTTAGAGTTGAATCATCAAATACTTGCTAAGTTACACAATCGATGAAGGATAGGACATTTATAGCGATAGTAGCCCTACAAAAGTACAAATACAATGCAGTGGAGATTTGGAACAACTGAGAATGCAGTAAGCTCATTAGATGGATTATTGATTTGCTTACTTTTCCGTCAAGGTTCTGGATCACTGCACTACAGTCGTCAGTACTGCTCATAGTCACGAAAGCAAATCCGCTGCCTCCTCTTGAGCTACGGCCACCGCATATACCTTCTTGGGCAACCGCCACAATGCTGATGCAGCAATGGGAAGAGGATCTCCACCGCAGGGGTGCAGCAGACAGAAGTAGACGAATTGGGGTTGGCAGTCTGAGGAGAGAGTCCGTGGTTGGCGGGAGCAGCCTGTTGTTTTGGATGCATTTGAGGATGTTGATGGATGGGAAGAGAGATGAACGCACGGCTGCAGCAGCAGTTGCAGCAGGTGACGCGGCAAGATTGTCTCCATTTATATGGATAAGGTGGGTTCAACCTGGATTTTCAGTCTGGTTTACTGCATCAGGTCACTCTTGAGGAGAGGATTCCCAATAGAATACGTATAGAGGCTGTTCGTTGTGGGCTTGTTAGTTAGCTGAAGGCACATAGCTCAACCGAGTCTTGCTAACACTGTTCAACTTTAAACTGATTAAATATGGAGTTGGAACATAAAGAAAAAGTTGAACAATCATGTCACAATCGAAGTTCATGCCCAGCTGCAAGATTTCTCTCTATGATTCATCACTCAATCAGTCTAAAACTAGCGCAAATTTGGAGACAGTAGTTAGCGGGTATAGGGACCTAAACTTCATAACACAGAAGCAGAGAACAAGTCTGTTGTCTATACTGGTTCATGGCTTTCTGCCTCTTAAACTGACTTCACTAATAGCACTAGCAGAAAAACATTGAAGCAAAAGGAAGTGGTATGATAACAAGAACTAATCTCAGTTTACCCACTCGACTACAGGCCTTCTGCGACTTGAAATGGCCGACCCTTTCTTCTCTCTGAGAGCACTCCTGTCATCAGATGGCTGATCTTTGGACTTCCTACTCCTAACTACCGGGTTCTCATCAGTGGCTTTCCTCGGCATGACTTTACAGTGAATACGACTGCTGCTTTGAGTCGAATTCTGATTCCTCAGTATGGAAGGCCGCTTGCCAGGTTTGACCCTGTACTTGTCTCCAATCAACGCATCATTTTCTGAGTAGGAGAACAAATCACCAAAAAGGGGACATGAATAAGAGAGAAACTTGTAGATTTGAATTTTAAACAAGGACAGATAGAAAGAGCTGCTTACGAGGACTGGATAGTACGGCTCGAGGTGGTGGGATTGAACTGGCTCTAATATTTGGTCTATCATCTTCTTCTTCATCTAGGTTGCTTTTGGTGTCTGTTCCTGAACTTTCTGTGCAGACTGAAAGTGGAGTTCTTGGTGTTTCAGGCAGGATTAGGCTAGGCACATAAGACTTGGGAATTTTGGCCTTGGGACTCGGAGATTGCGAAACATCTTGCAGCAACTTAACTACAAGCCATAACAGGGTCCACCATTAGGAGAAAGAGTCAATTATACAAAGGGTAAGCTTAGAGGGAGCATCACCATGAAGTAAAAGGGCAACCTTTCAACATCCATGTTTATCCTAACTGAAAATGAAGCTTTCAGACAGATGCACTCTATGGCTTAGTAGTTCCCGCGTCTTGCAAGTTTCTAATTCTATCTTTCTCCAGGAGGTAGAGCATAGTAGAAGTTCATAGACAAAGATCAGAACTTTTTACAACAAAGAAAGATTCAGCAAGCACCCACATCAGGATTCAATTTCCAGGTTAAGATCGAGTAGGTTCAAAGAAAACATTGAAATTCTGGTCCTAGAAGTCTTAAGAGGCGATAAGAGTTCAAAAGACAACAGATTAAATTGGTCAACCTTTTCATGAACTGAAGAACAAAACAAAAGGAGATTACCTGGGAAAAGCGAATCTTGAATGGAAAGGAACTGGATATCCTTCAAGGAAAGCAAGGAGCCCCAGTGCCGATCATCTTCATCTCCCATCCTAACCTTCACCTTCGGATACACTGGAACAAGATAGCCAACAGAAGCGGAGAAAACAAATCATATCAGAACATAGACCACAACATAAGAGCTCCAGAGAAGTTGATGAACCAACCACAGAAGATTAGCCGCAAAACCCACTTGTTTGTATGATGATCAACCCAGGATCCGACTGCACAACAGCCGGGTTTCAGCTTCTCGAGCTATTATCTGGCCTACTTCGATGATTTGAAATCCAAAAGAAGAAACCAACGGAAAAACACAGAAAATGGACAAAGCACGCAACTTTATGCGGTGGGTACTGGGAGGAAGTAAAGGAAGGAAGGAGCAGACAAAAGTTAGGTGGTTGGAGAATGCCTGTGGAAGTAAGATGTCGAAGGAATGATGAAAAGGGTCGGCACCAAAGTTGGTTGCCTCTTCAATCCCTCCTCCGATTGTCAGGCCTGGACAGGAAGGAAAACGAGATTTGGGGAACGCAAGCCGGCAAGCGAAAGGAGAGAGAGAGAGAGAGAGAGAGAGAGAGAGAGAGAGAGACGGGAGCCTAGAATCAAACGTGGTCAAACTCCCCCAAATTGCACCTGTAATGGCGATTTGAAGATGCATATGTTTAGCGTGTCTTCTTCGCGCAAATGGGTCCTACCCGCCAATTGTTTATGCCCCAGTTGACTTCGAGTCGGATACGGCGCCGATAGAGAGAAGAACCTCTTCCCTTCCAGTTCCTCGCCTTTCGTCCATTCTGCCGTCTTTTCTCTTCTTTTTCAATTTTCATCCTTTTCTTTTTGGGCTTTTGGTTGGTTTCAAACGGTCCGAAACAGTGATTTACTACATTCGAAACGTTTCTAAATTCTATGCGGCGGCGGACAATTCCAGACGCTAGGGTTTAACGTTTAAAGGTGTTCTTTTTTACCATTTCGGGAGATAATGCAGTCAGCAATGAGCGAGGAAACGAAATTTCTAGGAGGGGTTTTGATTTTTCTATGATTTGGAGAAGTGGGTCGTTTGTTTTGTTACTCAGGAGGTGTGATGTCGTGGCGCAGAGCTGGGCTGAGCATTCGACGGAACGTTGTGGACAACCGGCGGCTCTGCACCGCAACTCGCCGTCGTCAGGTTGAGGATGAGGGTGACTGGTTCTACTCCTCCGAGTGGTGGGGGACGGACTCTGATGGTCAGACTGTTCTGCGCACCGACTCCGATCACGGGAATGGCGTCGTCTCTGTTCTGGCTTATCCCTCTTCTCGACCCGTGAGTCTCTTTTCTCTTCTGTGAATATTGCCCACCAAGTGTTCGACTTATTTACTGCCTTGTCCACTATCGTTTCTGTTGCCTAGTGCTTGTTGATAGCTGGGTCTCCGATCTTTCAACGCAATGATGGTGATTGGTAGCATGTTTAGAGGCTGCAATTCCATCTCCTTTTGATCAGAGGAGCTAAAAAGTTGAGGTCTTAAACCACAAGATTTAATGGTTGTCTTTTGTCTCCTTTTAGTGCTTTAGGTACAAAAGTTTCCACCCTCCGATATGGAAACTTCGTCAGATGTTGCTGTTTTAAGCAATGGGTCCCTATGAGGCTATGACTAATGACTGCACTCCTTTCCTTTTAGAACTGTCAACCTCGCTGCGAACTAGATTTTTTATCCGTTGGTGGTATCTGTGGGTAATTCTGTATGCAAACTTTGCAGGCTCATACTGAATGGCCTAAAACTGAGAGATGGCTTCAGGAAAGGTATGCAGCTCTGCATCCAAGTCATCAGAAAAAGGGTTGTTTAAAGATACTTGGATATCAGTGGCGCACGCTGCACTTTAACGAAACCACACGCCAGAGCACTGCTAAAGTAATGGCTGCTTACCACGGCTCAAAACCTGGCTCTCTGTTCTTGATGCAACAGCCTCATTGTTTAGCTGTTCCATGTAAATCTACACTCCTTGCTCTCGTCCATTTGCTCTTGAAATTACTGCATGTTGTTCAAGCTACAATCTGCCTCTTGTTTTCAACCCAGAGGCTCGATTGTCGAATTGACTCTGCTAAGCTTGCTCTTCAAGTTGCAGAAGGAAAATTCGACTAGAGTTAGTTCTTAGACTGGACCTGCATGGTTGTACTTGTGCAGATTTAAAGAGTATGGCAGCGACAGGTTTAAATGCTCTTGCGTGCTGTGATTACGACCTTGCTGGTGTTGCAGTCGGACAGAAGAAAATGCGTGTGTTGTGCATTGGTCATGGTGGAGGAAGTTTGCCCTTATTCCTGGCCAGCAAATTGCAAGGTAAAGATCCAGTTGCTTTTTCATTTCTGTGGCTGTGTTTGTTCTTTGTGAATGCATCCTATTTGTCTCAATTTACATGTTATATGTTTTGCATGCTATGATGTGAGATGCTAGTTGTCATTATTCACTAGCTGTCATTATTCATTACTGTATTTAACTCAGCATGCTGTGCTATTCAGGTGCCGAAGTTGACATAGTTGAAATCGATCCAGTAGTTATATCAACATCAATCCGAGCAATGGGGTTCCCAGCTTTCTCCCTGATGAACCCATCCGGACAACGCGCCACACCAAACCCCAGCACCATGGACGTCGTTCTGTGGAAAGGCATCCACGAAAGGCTCCGTCTTTACGAAGCAGATGCCGAGAATTTCATCCTGAACACCAGCAAGACCACAGTCTACGACATGGTCTTCATCGATGCCTACGATGGAGACGACATCTTCCCTCGCAAGCTGTGGGACCCAGACTCGCCGTTTCTCGAAGCTCTCAGCCAACACCTGCACCCAGAACACGGCGCCATAGTGGTGAACCTCCACTCCTCTGAATTACCCTCCGTTTCAAGCTCTTCCAGCTCGTTTTTCTTCGACCAGTCTCTGCCGATGACCAGACACGTCTCCAAAGTCTGCAGAGCCTACAAGGAAGTCATACTAGGAAATGGGATTGGTGCAGCGTTCACCGTCTCGGTTCCTTGGGTCTGTAATGTTAGTCTGGTTGTTTGTAGAGGTCTGAAGACTGGTGATAATGGCGGCAATTGTAGAGATGCAGTCTTGGGAAATCTTCTGTCGAGGTCTTCTGAAGTTGAGAATACTGTAAACCTTCCCTTTTCTTGCCTGGAGTATATCAAAAGAGACTTCGAGCTCGTTTAATCGATTTTCTCTTGTTTGAAATGATTCACTTAACAGTTTGGGCCCAAGTAATTAATAACCGAGTCCATAAACAAAGCCCATGATTTGCTGGAGCCTTGGAGGAGACGAAAGGCCCAAAGAAGAAGTCCAACGTGACAGAGCTCTGATTCGATTAAGGCTGACCTATTTTTGGCTTGCAGTAGGAACCTAGGATTCTGACGCCTCCGTTTACTCTGCTTTTAGAAATTTCTTCTTCCTTCTTCTTCTGGTCGGCAATGGCGGTTCTGGGCAAGAAGCGGCTCTCTACGGGCAGAGGCGAGGACGCCGGGATCCTAGCGAGGGCGAAGCAAACCTTGTCGGAGTCGCGGATCTTGGGAGTGTCGAGAGAATTCGCGGGGGACGCAACGTACGTGGCGAAGAGACTGGCGAAGAGCACCGGAAAGGCGGCGTGGATCGCCGGGACGACGTTTCTGATCCTGGTAGTTCCGTTGATCATAGAGATGGACAGGGAGGCACAGCTCACTGAGTACGAAGCGCAGCAATCCCACCTCCTCGGAGCTCCGCCGACCACGATGCCCTGAGTGATTCCTGAATTGTACGCTAGGGTGTTTCTCTTAGGGGTTTTATTGTTGTTACAATGTGTTCGAGTTCTCAATTCCTGTTATGACTTATCATTGTTCTTCTGCCGATTAGATATAAAGGAAAAATGAATGCTTTGATTCATTGAAATGCCTTTTTGTCGAATTGCATTACCCTGGTTGGCTTCTTCCCTCAAAACTTTAAGAATGTCCCTTTAAGAGTTAAGACATCTCTAAGCTTGGGCCCATTTTTTTTTTATGGCCCTGGGTTCGTCTGTAGATGTCAGTGAGCAAAAACTCAGTAGATGGTTTGTGCGCTGTCATTCTATGATCTCTTGGTTTGACTTCAGTTTCCGACTCTAATCCTCTTCTGCAGCTCGAGTCGATTTACTTGCGTGCCAAAGTAGCTTTGATCTGGTCATTCGGGTCGTCTGCTGATTAGGGTTAGATCATCTTTGCGTGGATTTATCAGCTGAGCCCTAATCCTTAGGTTGTGCAGAATTTGTATGCAGAAATGTGGTGGTTGTAACTTGTAATCAGTATTAAGTTGCACTTTGACAGTGGTCCAATTCCTCATGCTGTGGGAGGCAAATACTTCTGTGTTTGGTTTCTGCTGCTTAGCCAATTCAGTTTCACCTCCGAGTACACTGTAATGACGTTTTGATTCAAGAGAGTGGGCTTGTGCGGAAGCCCAATTCCATAGCCCAGTACCAGTTTTTGGTAAAGGCTTCAATAGGCCCAGTAGCGGTTGCTTGATTCAAAAGTCAAAATAGTTAGGTAAAAGAAGTAGATGCGCATCCGGGGAATCGAACCCCGGTCAGTACCGTGGGAGGGTACTATGATACCACTACACTAGATGCGCCTTGTTGTCGTTCATTGCTTCTACAGATTTTATAGGAGGCAACCTACAAACCAGATCTTGTAGTATAACTTACCTAAGCAAGATTTCATTGTACGAACATTTAATAACCATCACAGTTTCAGATTAAAAATGTGTAGCAAGAGAAAATAGTTCAAAGCTATATGAAAATTTTGAAGGCAACGAAGGAATGACAGTCCCATGAATGGCAACGAAGGATGACAGATAGCTACATTGTTATCCTTAGCTGGCCTTCCTGCCCATATACACAGACATCTGAATCATTATTATCAGGAAGAGAAATGAAGATTTGCTACTGCCACCACAACACAACAAACCTCTATACCACATTCGATGTGAGTATGGCTAATCCCAAATCCCAAAATGACGCACATCCCATGTGAGCAAGCACACATGCCTGCTCCCTCTTATGGCTGCTGCTAACAGGTGCTGTAGATTGATCTTAACCACTCGGTTGAGCATTCATGGATCGAAATTTGTCGTCTTTGACGAAATCACGTTGTGTTAATCGGGCACCAAATAGCAGTTCATGTATGCATTTGATTGATTGATGACATCTTGTTTCTGTAGTAGGTGAAGGGGAGGGAGGGGAAGGAAGGAAGGAAGGAAAAGTGGGTTTTCCTGTTTACAACTTTCTGAGAGAAGAAAAGCATAGCTAAGGAGATGTGGGAGGGGAAGAAAGAAAAGAAAAGAATAGACAGAGAAGCAAGGAAGCCAGGAAGCAAAACAGAACAGCATCAGTCTGTTTGGAGAAAAAGAGCAAAGAGAAGAGACAACAAAACAAGCATCCTCCTCTTTTCTTCATCTTCCCACCACCCACATGCCTCTCTTTCCTTGATGCTGCAAAAAAACTCCATTACCCAAGTCCCCTCTCTAATAAAAATATATATTCAATATTACCACAGACATTCTTTTGCTTTGTTTTGTAATTCCCATGGCCTAATTGCTTCCTCCCTTCACATAATACTTACCCTTCCCCTTTCAATTGATGATAACTCAATCCTAACTCTACAAAAACTTGTGCATCCTCCCCCTCTCCACCACAAGAACCAATCCCACCAAGCTTCTTCCAAAAACAAAAGAATTGTTGATGCCTCCTCCCCAATCTGCATTTAGGTCCCTTCTTCACCACCACCAGCCTCCCTTCTCTTTTTTTTTTTTTGTTTCTCAATAATCTGCAGAAACAAGAAACCAAACAAAGCATTACTACATTAACCAATGAAACAGCAGCAGCAGATACAACAGAGATCTAATCATCATCTCTTCTGTTTGACATGATGTTCTTCATTGGGACATAAAGAAAGGAAGTTCATAGCAATACCATCATGTTTCTTCAGCAGATTTCTTGCAAACATGAGGAAGATCACCAAGAACCCCACTCCTGCAGCCCCTCCTAATATTATAGCCACCGTCCTCCCTGTGTTCTGCCCTGTCCCTACACCATTTCAATTCCCTTCATTCCCCATAAACAAATCCACACACAACAACAAAAACACTAAACACATCATTTAAACCATCTATTTTATATATACATGCATGGTCCCAATCTCGTCATTAGCATTAATCCATGAAAGGGACACCAACTCCACACCAAATCCTATTATTCTATCACTCAAATCCTTTTCCATTGGGGACAACAAAACCCACAAATCAAAATCAGCAGCCGAGAATAGCACATACAGCTACAAACGAACCAACCAACCCTAACAAGCAGCAGCTTTTCTTGCATACCCAAAAGTAAAGGAAGAAGCTTTCTTTCTTTGTGTTACCTGATGAAGGTGAACCATAAGATGACGAAGACCTCCTGGGAACCCCATTGGGGTAATAGCTATAACTAATGAAGCACTTGTGAAGATAGATTTGGCCAGAGATTGCATTCCCACACTCCACCTGAGCTCTCTGTACAGCACTCTTGGCACACTCCCCACAATCCGAATCCCCAATATCTCCCTCGCACTGCCCCAAAACATACATCGATTGGTAGCTCGTAGTGAAGAATCCATGCCCACTCGCCACTCCATTAGCAAGAACAGACAAGGCAGTGTCCCTTCTCTCCTCAAACCCACTCCCGGCAGCGGTGGAGCGGCCGCAGGTCTTGAACAGCATCTCCATCCCCGAGACCTGAGTGAACCCAGCAACCTCGTAGAGAATGTAGCAGCCGAAGAGCTGGACGCGGGCAGCAATGGCCTTGCCGCACATTTTGTCGGTCAGGACGGGGAGGCCGCTCACGCATTTGTAGCAGTCGCCGATTGAGAGGTCGCCTCTGCACTGGAAGAGGCCGGTGATTGTGGTTTGGCCTGTCCCCGTGGTGGTTTTGAAGAATTTGGATTTTGTGGATTGTTGGACTAGAGTGCCGAAGAGTGCTGAGAGGGCTTGTGAGTAGAGGCCGGTTGGATCTTGGAAAGCTTCCTTTGAGCAGCCCTTGTAGACTAGGGAGGTGTAATCTGGAGCGGATTGAGTTGGGTTTGTGGAGAAGAGGAGGAGGAGGAAGAGGAAGATGGGAGGGAGATGAAGAATGTAGAACAAGGGTTTCGAGGGGAAACCCATTTTCGGAAAACAAATTCTTCCCTTTTCTTCTCTGTTCTATCGTATCATGGTGGTGGGGTTTGGAGGTCTTGAAGAAGGATTGAGGAGGTGGGTTTGGAGAAAAGATTGAAAATTTGAGATGGAGCTGAGCTGGGTCAGTAAATTTTGGCTAATGGTTACTACTACTACTACAGTCTACAAGTTGCTGCCTTTTGGGTTTGTGGTTTGAATTTCTCGAGAAGAAAGGAAATTGAAAGGAAAGAGGGTAGAGAGGGTTTCGGTTTCTGGTTTTTTGGTGTTTGGGGACTTCACTTTTTTCTCTGAAAATGTGCAGAGATGCAGAGAGGGAGAGGTCAGGGGAGCAGGAGGAGCATCCTTTTGCACTGTTTCAAATCGCTGGAAACAGAGAAGAGAAAGATTAGCAGTACAAATGTACAATATACAAAATCACACAGGGAGAAAAATAATGAAAAGAAAAGGAAATTTTGCCTTGAGATTGTGAATTATTGGCCTTCAATTTGTTTACTATTTGAATAGAATGAGAACAAAATATAGGGAAAAAATCTCAAGTTACACATGTTTTTAAAAAAAATTCTCAAAATACACAAGTTATGAAAATAATTCCCAATCTACGTTAGTTTGGGCCATCACCGCTGTCGACAAAGACAGTGATTGCATTACCGCTGTTGACGAAGACAGTGATTGCATCACCGCTGTCGACGAAGACAGTGATTGCATCACTGCAGTACACGGCCGCGGTGAAGGCCTGACCTGCGTCGAAACTTTAAACAAACGTAACTTTGTGCTCGGTTATCCGACCGTAGCGAAATTTTTTTTTGATTCCGCATAATTTTTCGAGATCTTGCAAGCCGCAAATTGCCGTAGGCGGTTTGGTCCCGCCTTCGTCTCGAAAATATGTCGTTTGCTACCCCGAACGAGCCTTTTTTCGATTTCGTCAAACTTTGAATGACCATAACTTTGTGCTCCACAATCCGAAAATCATGAATTTTTTTTTTATTTCGCATAACTTTTTAAGGAATACAATATTTAGTAGGAGAGAATTTTCAAAAAATGAATTATTTATGGATATAAGGGGTTTTGGGAATTATTTTCATAGCGTGTGTATTTTGAAATTTTTTTTTTAAAAACATGTGTAACTTGGGATTTTTTCCAAAATATAGCCACTATACAGAAATTTCTTGGGCAGACTAAAATAAAAGGACAAGAACAGGAAAAGAAGGAACTCTGTAGTAAACCATTAAGAAAATGGAAAAAGTAGCACTGTGCTGTGAATGGTAAAGGAATCTCAGTTAAAGTTTGACTGAAGTAAGCATATATTAAAGAAAACACAATATGAAAAAATTCTTCATAAACCTCTAGATGTTCAATGTGTTTGCTTTCTTGGTCCTCATTTAGTACAAGTTTTCATGGTACTCGACTGAGTTTTGAGGTCTCAAGAAACATGTGATTGTTCTTCAATGTGTTGCATGGAGGGAGATGTATACATTGAGGCAGAACGTGTCACATTACGTGTTAAAACAATAAAAATTATTGTGAGTAAATTTACTTCGTAAATTGTATGGCTCATACCAATACATATTGAACATTATTTTGTTTTTAATGTTTACCTTTAATTGAAATAAGCTTTCTAACTTGTGTTGATAAGTTTTTTTTTAATTGTTTGTTCTAAGGTTTATGTTACAAACTATATAAAAACAATAAAATACTGAGAATTTGCAAATTTTCTTACACAACCCCTTCAGTTCCTTGTGAGTTAAACATGTGAAGATGTGCTCTTTTATGATTTTCAATTGTATGATTTTGGCATGCTTCGATTGATGAATGGATGTATATCAAAGTGAGGTCATTTAGATTTAATTTCTGACAAAGAGAGGTGAAAGTTATTTTAGGTTTTTATGGTTGCTAGGTTGGCATTATTAATACCTTAATTAATGATGAAAAGGTTGACCGCTTATATGTTGCGGTTGACTTGATGATACGTCAACCCAACATCGTGAAGAGTGCTCTAAAGATGATAAACCTCGTGATTGCACATAAAAAGGTCGATCGGACAACCAACGTGGTTGACCTATGAGCTACATGTATTGCACCAACAGCTGTCTTTGATGTTCCAACATCTTTTCTTTACCAAGCTCTAAAGTCACACAAATTAGTTTACATGACTTTTAGAGTGATAAGCTAATTACGTACATTTGTTATTTATTGAGGTTTATTTGCTGTTAACTCTGGTTAAGTGATATAAAAATTATTTTCAGTACTGTAACCTTTATAGTGGTGAAATCATATTCAATACTAATAAGGTAAATCCAATCGATAGGCCCACTTTTTTTCTTTAATGAGCAATTGTGTCATCCGATCAATCATTTTCTGGACGGGATCAACCGATTTGTCAAAATCTTAACTCTAGCAAAGCCGTTATTTTAACCTAGAGTATATCATAGACAATGAAAAGAGTAGACGGTAAATATGCAATTTGTTGTCCTTTTCCGTGAAAGAAAATCGTTTTCCGTTCATAATTCAATTGGTAATGTACTAATGTAGACCCAAAATATAGAACCAGAAGGAAGGACGAGGAGAAGGGAACTCATAGCCTGGACGCCACCTCCGAGAGATTGGCTCTGCCTAAACTGTGATGGGTCGGTGGTGTATGCTCAGGGAAGCGCGGCAGCAGGAGGGGTGCTACGAAAGGACGATGGGCGGTTTGTACGAGCTTTCACGTCCAACTTGGGGGAGGTTCTATCACGAGATCGGAGTTGATGGGGATTGCGATTGGATTGAGAATGGCTTGGGATGAGGGCTCAAGGCAGGTGGAAGTGCAGACTGACTCAAGAGCTGCTCGTGAGCTGATCCGGGAGTCCGCCGGGACGCATCCGCACCACATCTTGATCTCCCAGATTCGACAGCTGTTGAGGAGAGATTGGCGGGTGGAGCTGAAGCATGTTTTCAGGGAGGGGAACGTGGCAGCTGACTTTCTAGCATCACTGGGGCACTCGCTTAGCGTGAGTGAGCATACGATCACAGCACCATCCCCGACGTTGAACCATCTCCTACTCTATGATGTAATGGGTATCCAGACCCCTCGCTTTGTGTCAAATTAATCGGGTGGAGCGCCGTCACGCTCCGTTTTATCACCCAAAAAAAAATCTAATGACAAGAACAATAACGTGTAATTCTAAATCGAAAATACCATTATGGTTTTCTCTTACAAGTTCGGCTGAATTGCTGCAGTGCTGTCTTTGGTCTCTTCCTTTTTACCTCTCTTACGTAAACATCCCGTCTCCACCGACGAAACTTTTGCCCTCCGGATTCCTTCAGATTGAGACCCACAAGGCCCGGCAGCTCACACATCGCATTCGACGCGGAAAGTTGCAGACTTTACGTTTGCTGTTTGGCTTTCCGCAAAGAGTTTTTCCTTTCCCAACTTTTGGAGAAGGGTGATGATCTTTACCTGCTAAACTTCGGTTGATTCGTTGGAGGGAACGAAAGAAGATGATCGCATTGAAGGAGAAGGTCTCCAATCAGCTGTCTCGCTTATTTGCCGATTCGCCCAATTCCCCTTCTCATAGTTCTCAGGTAATTCTGTTCATAACCCCCTTTTCCTTTGTTTCAGCTCTTGTCTTTCGTTTTCGGAGAACCTTAGCTAGATCTGCCATTTTCAGACAATGCTGATGTCGCTGTAGAATGTGATGTTCTCTCCATCATATCATATATTCATGTCTCTTTCTCGGCATTAATAGTACTAAGATGATCTCATAGGCATAGAGTATGTAGCTTCATTTTGCTGAGGGAGCAATGGTTTTACTCCCGTACAATCTTGGCAGGAAGTGTTCTGGTTTAGGAATTGGAGGGGGTGTTTCTCATGAACTAGCTTTCATGTTGTTTAATGGCATCTCTATGTTTCTGGGTGTAGTTGTTGGACGTGTATGTGTACGACTTGTAGTGATGGAGGTTTCAGAAGATTAGAATTTTGTACGTCAATGTTTCTTTTGCCTCCTGAAAAATTAGGGGTTTCATCCTGGACTTGTACAGTGTACTACTCCTGTGTTTATTTGTGTTTCTGGTTTTGTTCAAATTGGTGCAGAGTTTTGATATATGAGGATTGGCAACTGAGTTATTTGAATTTGTAGGGTAGGACAGCTAGTCAAGGTGAAAAGTCATATTCTTCATATTTTTCATCCGTCGTTCCTTCCTTGGGCTTTGGGAAGTCTACGTCGGAAAATGGTAAGGACCAGAAAGTCGAGTTAGCACCTGCTCCTTCACTTCGAGTAAGATGGAGAGGTAGAGAATTTGACCATGAAGAGGAACCGAGATATCACGAGTGCCAGAAAGCTGGTGAACGTCAAGCAGCCATATTTCGTGATGAAAATGAGGATTATTCTTCTCAAACCAGCAGCAGTGACAGTGATGTATTTGAAGAAGCATGTGAGCAGCAGAGCACTCCGAGGACACCATATCTGAAAGATGGGTCTGCGTTTATATCATCAGACTTGTATGAGTTCCTGATGTCGTCGCTCCCTAACATGGTGAAAGGGAATGACTGGGTTTTGCTATATAGGTAAGTTGCTTGTGATTAACCAACCAACTAGTGATATGCATTTGCCGCTGAAATTTATCTTGCTAATGGACTTCTGTTTACTATTTTGTTCTTTCCTTCCCTTGTAAGGGCAGTACGATGAAGCATGGCATATCTCTTCGCACACTCATTCGGAAGAGTGCTGACATTCCTGGCCCGTGTTTACTGGTAGGTGTAGTTCTCTATTGTGTTATTTCCCCACTTCTATCTTCATTATTTCAGTGCTTTTACTGTTCTTGGAATTCTATTCTTAGATTACTGGAGATAGACAAGGTGCTGTGTTTGGTGGACTTCTGGACTGCCCACTGCAAGCCACTTCCAAGAGAAAATATCAAGTGAACTTTTTTCTTCTCTCTATTCTTCTCGTGTGTGTTATACATTATGTTCTTTTATGTACCTTCCCTAGGTATAACTGAAACTTACTTAAATGTTGTGTTCTGTAGGGGACATATCAATCATTTGTATTCACTACCATATATGGTGAACCAAGGCTATTTCGACCAACTGGTAGGTTCTCTGTCTTCATTTTTATTCACTGAAATCTGACAAACATCTGGATATTAAGTTGTGATTCCAGCTCTAGGATTTGAATAGTTTGACAACTGCTGTTAGTGTATGAATGCACCTTTTGAGTTCATGTAGCCCAGTCAGGTTTTGGACTTTTGGTCGTCACTCACATTTGTGTGCATAGACTGGCATTGTTTTGATAAACACCTTTTGCTGGTTTGTGTGAGAGCATGGCACTCATCCGTTCACTTAAATGAAAGCCTCTATGTTTGTAGCACTTAGATGTTTATTGCTGGAGTATTCCCCCAATGCTGTGTACTAGCGACAAAGACTTGGATTTCTGTCAATAATGTCATTCCTGTAATCAGTCAATCGTCTGACACCTTTGATGAGATAATGTCATAGTAGTGTTCTAATACAAATAATCAACAACCTTTTTGTGGTGTTAATTTAGGAGCACTGATGGATGATCTCTCTCCCAATGGTGATTCCTTTCAGTATGCCGTGAATGAGTGCAATTACGCTTCTAGTTCACTACATGAGATAATTTTTATGTCCAGTTGTCCAACATTAGGTACTGAATTCTTGTGCACAGGTGCCAACCGATATTATTACTTGTGTTTGGATGACTTGCTAGCACTTGGTGGCGGTGGCAACTTCGCTTTACGATTGGATGGAGACCTGTAAGTTGCATTCTGTTTTCCCCATTGCAACAGTCCTCCACTACACGGTTGTTTTACTGATACCTTGCATTGTTTTCCTTTTCTCACCCTTTTCCTCCTTTATTTGTGAAAACAGGTTGCACGGAACTAGTGGCCCCTGCGAAACATTTGGGAACTTATGTTTGGCCCATGATTCAGATTTCGAGTTAAAGCATGTCGAGGTAATTCAACTCTCATTCGTCTCCCCTACCCTACTCACATTAATCGATCTTTTCTTTCCACACATACCCCAAGAATCATTTACCGATGTGCTTCTAGTTGACCCCAAGATCAATTAAGGAGCTTTGCTAAAGTTAGGACTTGGAGTATCTATAGACTAGTTTCAATTCTAAACTAAAGGATTATTTGCTTGTTCGTTGGTGCAGCTTTGGGGATTTGCATACTCATCAAAATACTGAAGGGCACAGCGACACAAGCAAGAGAATTGATTGGAAGAGTGTGATATGATCATGTATTCTTTATTCTTTCAGGGTTGATATTGCTGTGAAATTCCTTGTTAAAATTGCTTATTGTTAGGAAGCTATCAAGCAAGAAGACTAGCTTATAGAGTAGGGAAAGGAAGATCTTCATTCCTCAGCTCTGTTCTAGTTTTAGATTCAGTAGGTAATATACATATGGTCATGGTAAGCACTAATTGCAGTTCCGATTCTGGAGTTGAAAATTATATTTCAAGATGTTGAGTAGGAGCAATAATCCTTCACCTACTCGGATTTAGGACGAAAAATGATGTCTAGAAAAAGAATCTAATTTAACCAACACATAGTTAAGACGAGTATAGAACCATACTAATGCCCAAGAAATAGATGAAAAAACCGAAGTAACTACAATAGTGAAACGTCTGGAGAATTTTTCTCTTGCAACCAAAAAGAACAGAGTATCGTCATCTGCAAAATACGAGGCACCATACAAATCGAACTCTCATTAGCTGTACCAACCAGTGTTCCAGTGACTCTTCCACCTCAATGTTCTACAACGAACTCACTAATGCGTCCGACGATCTTTCTTGGAGGCTAAAGAAACCACACCTAATACTGAAACACTTAAGATTCCACCGTTTGCTCTGCCGCTCCATTACTGAAAATTTCCTCAGACCCCCAGTGGAAGCAAAAATGTAACAATGCTCCTGAAAGCCAAAAAGATTGGCTGGCTTGATTCTCTCTCTGATGAGTTGGCCCTTAAGACTCTGGCTGTGGTGGTTCAACATCTTCCTCAGGCAGCCCAAATATTCGGAGGTTTCGATCCATTGATCCTACAGCAAGGTATTTCGCATCTGGACCAAATCTCACACATGTTGCTTTCCCTGCAGTTAAATTCAGAATACTAAACCAGTCAATAGACCAACGCTTTAAAATGGAGCAGTTTTCAGGAAAACGCAACAGAAGCAAGTAACCTGTTCCGGATAAATCAGGAAGAGTTTTGATGCAGTTCCAGTCTGCTTTCACACTAGCTACTTGGAAGACTCTGCACAACCCCAAAGGCAACAACAAATAGTAAGCAGAAAGTTCAAAAAGAATCCATGAAGAGATCAATAGATCATTTGTTCAGGGAACCCGTAAAAGTTTTTTTTGCGAAACTTGGACACCCTGTAATTATTCATAGAAATTTTCATCCTGGATAAGAAACAACAAACCATCCTACCTTATGTCTGAGCCCGCAACTCCCAAGTAAGAGCCACTGTGGTCAAATACCACTGCAAACACAAAATTAGTTACCATCAATGAATTGATTGTTTATGTCATCAGAAGTTGAGATCATGCAATAAAAGAGAGAGAGATGACAGTTCATCTTAACGAGGACCCATTTTAAGAAAGAAGCATTACCGGAGTTGGTTGGTGCATCTCCGTCATAAAGATTGAGAGTCCGGAAGTTCTTCAATTTGCGCAAATCCCAAAGCTTAACACTATCATGTGCAGCAGTCTGTCCAATTCATGTAGATAACACCATATCATTGCCACAAAACTACCATAATATCGGGATTCAGCATGTTCTACAATTTAATTGAGCAGGGAAACTTACAGCAAGGAAGTAACCGTTTTCGGAGAAAGATATGGCAGTTACTGGCCCGACATGCCCTTCAAATTTGGCAACATTGGCCTTCAATCAAAAACAGAAAAGAAATAAGCTGATGCAAAGTTAACAGTTAGGTGCCAATTTTACCAGTATACTCAATAACATTGAGTTATTAGTACCTGGCTTTTAACATCCCAAATTTTGACAATAGCTTCAGAGGTGCCAGTTCCAAGAATTAGACCATCAGGATGGAAGGCAGCAGCTGTGTACCCTACAGGATTCGAACTGTCTGTGTCGGCAGCAACCTGCAGAATCAAATTCATAATTGTACTAAACCATTAATGCATGGAAGCTGACATTACAAATGAATCTTACAAAACCTTAAGCCAAATGAACTGATGAAAAATATTACATAACTTGAAATTAGTAATTCACAATTGAGATTTAGAACCAACATAACCAATGATTACAATGTCAATCATGTACCATAAATGAATGTTATTTTATGTTAGTTAATTTTCTTTCATTTGGAACAAAAATATACCACAAATCATGAACATATGCATAGTGGTTAATGATTAGCAAAATACAAGGATTTTCCAGGAAATTTCACCTGTGCTAAGCATGAACCTGAGGAAAGATCATAGAAGCACCATGTATTGTCAAGAGAGGCAGTCACAAAGTAGTTATTAGTGGCATGGACAGTGACAGCTTGAACCTGCGCATGGACACAAGAATTTCAGCTATGCTGCAAATCTCCCTAATATAGGGACAACCAATACCATAAAGTCATAGAGCATAGACTTATCAGGTTTTAATACTTGCCACGCACACCAAAACAGAATATAATTTATAATAGATATGCATACCCATAAAACTATTACGGCGGGCTACACCCAAAAGACGATCACCTACCTCGGCAGTATGATCCTTCAAAATGTGTCGGCAATCATAGTTCCCATCTTCAGATTCTTGCCATATACGAACAGTCTGCAATATTGTAGAAGAAATCATGCACAAGAGGTAAAATAAAGGGTTCTACAGGAAAAAAGCGTGTCTATTAGAATAGACAAGAATGCTGATTACAAAATAAATCTATCGGGTCAAACAATCAATGAGGGGCTATTCATGGGAGGTAATAAAGAGGGGGAAACAAGGTTATGAAATTAATGACGGCATAACTATTCATACCTTATCGGCCGATCCTGTCAAGAACGTCCCACCATCAGCTACAAAGTTTACACTAGTAACCTGAAAGAAAAGTCATGTCATGAGCATATAGTTTTACTTGAACTACAGGCATCACGAGCAAAAAAGTTAGAAAACCTTCTTAGAGTGGCCACTAAGGGTTGATCGGATCTGTCCTGATGAGCGATCGAAGATTACAGCAGTGGAATCAACTCCTCCAGTGGCTATAATGTCCTGAAGACAAGGAATAGAAAGCAACATAAGGCAATAATGCAGGAAAATGCTTTAAAAAAAATGAGGATCAGATAAAATAGATAATAATTTTGACAGATAACTTAAGCAGTACAGTTAAGTGCTTTAGCTCTTAGCTCCTTGTAACATCTTTTCAGAAGTCAACATAAGGGGAAACCAAAATTGCAATTGTCAAATAAGGATCACAGAAAAGTAACTAAGATTAAAAAAAAAAGACTTGGATAGTGCATCCTACAGTGATCAACCATGTGTAATTATGTTAACCCTTTAAATAGTCAAGGGCAGCACATGTAAAGGAAAGCAGCAGATAGATTGATCATTGTGGTTTATTATGCTGAGTCTATACCTTTGAATACTGGATGTCAATAGATGTGACTCCTGGCTTGTTAGTCTTGTGAAGTGGATGACTGGAAAGTTGGGTGTATCTCCCCAAATCTTCAATAGACGCCAAGGTTGCAGGAATCTAGTCAACAGTTAATGAACTGGATTTAAGGCCTCCAGAAAAATTGAGTGAAAGACATACAGTTCCAGAAACCATGAAACAAACTAGGAACCCCCACGACCTAAATCCCTGAACATTACCTGTCGCCTTTTACGTTGCTGTGAAAGGGCAGCGTTACATTCAGTTAGCTCGGTAATTATGTCAGTTGAAATTCCTGGGCGAAGCTTCTTTCCAGGAGGGGCCAAATCATCATCCTCCGCTGCTACATAAGTATAAACAGGACATACTTAAGAAGAACACTTAATAATATAGGCCGACAAAAGCACACATCAAAACAGGAAAAACCTCTTTTTCCATTAGCAACAGCAGAAGCGTTAGCTGCACCAGCTGCTGCGGCCGACATAGGAATCTGTCTATCCGACTGTGAAAGCAACGCTCTTGCTTCATCCCTTTCCTTTTTAAGTCTTGCAATTACACGGCAAGCTGCATCGTGCTGGGAAAACAAGATTTTCGTCAGAGTACCATACAATATATGAGCAATACCTCGCCAAAAGAATGAGTCTACCACTACCAAACAAAGGCCAGTCAAACATGACCAAAAGTCTGCAGTGATCCTGTAATTTTGGGGGGGAAATTGCACGTGCAAAGCTTAATCTAAACATCAATCATCATTTGTAGACGCTCTCTATTAAGACAATGAAGGGGAAGAAAAACAACCAATTATCAAGACATGAGTTATTCTAGAGACAGTCCATTGAGGCCAGACATCAGCCTAGAGGTCATTACACCTTTACAACTTCTGAACAAATATAGCAGATCATGAAAACTAACCTGGTAGAGTGCATGACTGAGCTCCTGACGTGCAGTATGTAGTTGTTGTTCCAAAGCAAAATTGGACAACATGAGTCCATCCCATTCCTGCAATTAGATTAACCAAACTGCTTTTACACATAAACCTAAGAACCTAAAACTCCTTGAGCAGGAATAACAACCAACAATGATTGATAAGAATAGTAAGAGAAGTTGTGTAATATAACAGATAGCATCAAAGCACAGATATAATACATACATTCTGAAACATGCCTAGCATTCCAGGAATGCTAGCTGTCTGAACAGTTCTGGGCTTCACAATCTACAGAAAAAAGCAGCATCAGCAGTCAAATATAGAAAATATTGGCGAATCTTAAGACATGAGAACTTGCACGAACAATACCCCTTGCATACCTTGCCCATTTTGATCGGTACTAAGTCATCTGTTGTAAGAGTTTCCCCTGTAATTGGGCATTTACCAGTATCCTGGAGGAAAAAATATGAAACAATCCACAACTTACCAAGTAAGAATCGAAAATTTCAACAATTTGAGCAGGATTGCCTAGAACTATCTATAGACACACAAGTGGATGGTGAAGAGGTTGCCATGAAAATGTATAATTCTTGAATTCCCTCATTGCAAGAAACAAGTTGAAGCCCTATTCCATAGGTATAGAAGCTCATTCACTCCCATCGTCCGGAGAGTATGAACACTTCAGAGAGATTCCGAGATTTCAATCACACAGGATAAGGTTGTCCGGGCTATCAGAAAATCCAGATTCCTATATCTAACTTGTGACAGATTCACTTAACTTAACAGGAAGAGGGAAAATTTTGACCAGCACCACCATCCTCTAAAAGATGGTACTGTTACAAAAGGGGCTAACTCAGACCACGCATATCTTCGTACTTCTCTTCCTCGGGAGGCAAACAAGCACCAAAAGAAAACGGCCAGTTGAAAAGACAAAACCCTAGCAAACATATTATCCCGAGACAGACAATAAGGAGACTAAACCCAAAAATTTCAAGCAACCGTTCTCTTCGGCTAAAAACGAAACAAGACCGTAAACCCTAGATTCGTTAAACCACAAGAAAATAAGAAAAACAGGGAGGAGGAAGCCGAAGGGGTAAGATGACGCACATCAATGAACCTCTCGATTAAGCGCTTCTCGTACAGAAGCCCAGACTTGGCGTTCACGACGGGCTCCACCGGCACGTCGCCAGAGACTGGTACGCACGAAAGAAGAAACAAGGTTAGATCAGCTGAAATTTTGTTCGAAACAGAGCTCCACAATCGGTAACTAAGAGAAGGAGGTGGCGGAATTTACTTGAGCACTGCATTGTTGAGGATGGCTAGGGTTTCGACGGAAGCACCCGAAGTCGTCGAGTGGAGAGCAAAAGGAAGACGGCGACTGGGGAAATCCGCACTGAAGCAGCAGAGCACCGCGCGCAGTCTCTGAGTAGGAAGCGCAACCCGAAGACAGCGAGCGAGGAAAAGGGGAGATTTTGGGTGTGGACCGACGGGGAACTAATAAAAACTCAACCATCCACAGGCAAGAAGTTGGGCTCTGCATGGCCCAACAGTACAAAGCCATCTTATGGTCAACGTTACAAACATATTTTGCGAGGCCCACTAATGCTATCTGCTTTTCAACCTAGGTGCGGCCTAGCCCACTCATTTGTCCAACAAGGGCTGGTTGTGTCTACTAATTAATTTAGGGGTGCAAAGAATAAAATACCTACTATTAGAAAGTAGAAACAAGTCGGATATCAGCTGCCACATCTTTCTTAATTTCCCAACTATCTTCCCTAAGAAACCCTAGCTCCGATTTTCCCGGAGCGGCGATTTTCCTAAGACCGAGCTGCTACTGGTTCTCCTGCGACCCCTATGGCTGCGCCGGCACCGGGGGCTTTCCCCCCGGACGGCGGCTCGTCGGACTCGAATGCGGGGGCGCGTCGCCCCCCATCAGTGACATCTTCCCCTGATTCCAAGCGCGATCGCGAAACCCAACAACCGAAGAAGAAAGCAAAACCAATGAGGGACAACCCTCTCTTTAGGGAAGAAAAAGCAAAGGACGATGTGATCATGGAACCGCCGTCGGACTCTATGGAAGAAGAAGAGGCTACGCAGGAGCAAGTTGTTAACCCTAATGCATGGAACACTGGTTCACGTAAGATTTTTACCGCCCACTCTCAGGTAGAAGAATGGTACGTTGCGGAATCGGATTCGGAAGACGTAGCTGCCGCCATGAAGGAGGATGATCTCGATGATGAGATCCCAGAAGACGACGATCCACTCTGTCCGACCATCGCTTATACGGCAATGGAAAAGCAGCGCTGGCGTCGGGAATGGCGCTCCGCCCTTATCGTCAAAGTGCTGGGGAGAACCTTTGCGTTCCCTGTTATCTCGCGTAGACTGGAGGTCCTGTGGGCCAAATGTGGTAGTATTCAGGTGTCACGCTTGTCTTTCGGCTTCTACGCAGTACGTTTTACCAGCCAGATCGACTACGAAACAGCAGCGGCGGGTGGCCCTTGGATGATAGGTGATTTTTACATCACAGTTCGGCTGTGGCGGAAAAACTTCAATCCACAGATGGCAGAGGTAGCCTCCACCATGGTTTGGGCTCGCTTCCCGGGTCTACCAAGGGAGTTCATCAACAAAGAAGCAGTGGAACGCATAGCGGAAAAGATTGGCAAACCAGTCCGTGTGGACCGAGCAACACAGACAGGAGACAGAGGCAAGTACGCGCGGGTCAGCATTGAGGTGGACCTGACCAAGCCATTGTTATCAAAGTTCAAGATCGAGGGACTCACCTACTATGTGGAGTATGAGGGCCTCCACCGCATTTGTACCGAGTGCGGGAAGTATGGGCATACGAAGGCCACGTGTCCGAAGCTCTTTAAGGAGCCAGCCCCGGCTCAGCCAGACTCACAGGTAGCTAATGACAAAGAACCAACCAGCACTTATGGTGAATGGATGGTAGTGCAACCGCGTGGACGAGGCGCTAAAAGAAATAATCAAGGACCAACAAAAGTTCCCAGCTCGAATGAACATGATACCTCACTAGGAGTGGACAAGACTCAAGGGTCAAGATTTTCAATATTGGTTGATGAAGATATTGCCGAGAAGCAGGGCTCCCATGCTGCACAGGATAAGGAAGTATCGCAGCTCGGAGCGGCTGTGGAAACGAGGACTCCTAACTTAGGATCACCGATGACGCATGAAGCAGGGGAACAAAATCCAACATCCATGCACGTGGATAATGGAGAGGGAGTCACTAAGGCCCAAGAGGGGGAATTTGGTCAGGGAAGTTCGCTGAAACCATCGTCGAGCGTCCCTGTGGAAGCAGAAGTAGTGTCAACCAAAGAGCTGGGATCGGGTAAGAACGAGCGACTTCCTGACCAACCGAGCAAGAGCTCTCACGGCCGACAAGCAAACCAGGATAAAAGAATTACTCTACCTAAACCAAAGCAGAATGGTCCTGGTCCGGAAAAGGCGAAACAAGTTCAAGCAAATAGTAAGACAAGTGACAGCAAGAAGGGCGCGGGGAGCCTATCCCTTCTGGTCATAAATGAAGATCCTGAGCCATAACTGCCGCGGGTTGGAGAATACGCGGTCAGTAAATGCTCTGAAGGCGCTATTGCGTCGATCTTCCCCAGCTGTAGTTTTCCTTATGGAGACAAAGCAGACTGTAGCTGAAAATGAAACTCTTCGTGGTTTATGTGGTTACCAGTGTGGAACGAGTGTCCCGGCAATAATCTCTCCTAGGAGCCGCGCGGGGGGAATATGTCTCTGGTGGAAGGAGGATACGCAACTAACCGTTATGGATTCTGACCTCCATTTTATTGATGCAGCTATCGAGGAGGCAACGGAGGGCAAGTGGAGATTTACAGGTGTCTACGGGTGGCCTGAGGGAGGGGATAAGTGGAGAACGTGGGAGCTGGTGCGACGTCTACGAACCCAGTGGGATGGACCCTGGCTGTGCGGAGGTGACTTTAACCAGGTGCTCTCCACAGAGGAAAAAAGAGGTGGCTGAGGCGCTCACGAAGCGGGGATGACCATGTTTAGCGATTGCTTGAATGATGTTGGGTGCCAAGACATGGGGTTCCATGGCTACCCCTTTACATGGGAAAACAGGCGGGCGGTAGGAGGATACATCGAAGAGCGGATTGATCGTTTTGTTGTTAATGACAAGTGGAGTACCCTCTTTCCGAATGGAAGAGTGCAACATGGGGATCGAGCTCACTCTGATCATCGCCCGATTTTCTGCGAAACCAGAGGAGAGGAGGATGTGGATGTGAAATGGGGGTGGTCTTTCCGTTTTGACCCTCTGTGGACAAAACACAAAGACTGTTCCGCGACGATTGAGCGAGCATGGAATAGTTCTCATTCGAATGCAGTCTTTGATAAGATGGAGTGCTGCAGAAGAGAACTGGAAAGCTGGAGCCGGACGACTTTTCCGGCGTTTGCCAAACAGTTGAAGAAGCTACAGAGGGCCATCCGTGCTTTGGAAAGAAGGGATAAGACGGAGGAAACTTTGGCCCAGTTGCGAGTACTTGAAGATGAGATGGCAGATGTGCTTGATAGTGAAGAAAGGTACTGGAAGCAGCGTTCCCGGGCTGACTGGCTTCGGTCAGGTGATAAGAATACTGGGTTTTTCCATAGGAAAGCTTCCGCGAGACGAAGAAGGAACATGATCAAGAAAATCCGCAATGAGACAGGCCGCTGGGTCACGAGCCAAGATGAGATTACAAGTTGCCTGGTTGATTACTATGGTTCTTTATTTACTGCAGGGGCGGCTCCCTCTTCCTGGCCGGTCCTCGAGTCACTTCAGCAGAAGGTCGGGGCGGATGATAATGCGACGTTATTGAGACCTTTTGAGAAGGAAGAAGTGTGGAATGCTCTGAAGCAGATGGGAAAACGAAAGGCTCCTGGTCCTGACGGCTTATCTGTGTTCTTCTTTCGGAAGTACTGGGCCATTGTAGGCGAGGATGTTACGCAGGCAGTTCTTCAGATTCTGAATACGGGTGTTATGCCGGCGGGTCTCAATCATACGCTTATAACTCTGATTCCTAAAGTAAAGCAACCGGCTACACCGAAGGACTTTAGACCCATTAGTCTCTGCAATGTGCTGTACAAGGTGGTGTCAAAGATCTTGGCTAATCGGCTTAAACCACTCCTGGACAAAATCATCTCCCCCTCGCAGAGCGCGTTCATCCCAGGGCGGTTTATCACGGATAACATCATGGCGGCTTTTGAGTGCTTCCATACCATGAAGCGCAGCAAACGATGGAAGCATGGTTTCTTTGCGGCAAAGATTGATATGGCCAAAGCTTATGACCGGGTGGAGTGGCAGTTCTTGGAGGGGGTGATGCGGCGGCTTGGTTTTGAGGAACGATGGATCCAGCTTGTCATGATGGGAGTGACCTCCGTGTCCTACTCTGTCCTGGTGAATGGTCATCAGTCTCCAACCTTCACCCCGGGCAGAGGGATCCGGCAGGGTGACCTGCTTTCACCATACCTTTTCCTGCTTTGTGCGGAGGGGTTATCGACCTATACAACCAAGGCGGTGGGAGAAAAACGGTTGCATGGGTTGCAGGTGAATCGGGGAGCCCCGGTGATTTCCCACCTTTTTTTCGCTGACGATAGTATTTTTTTTGGCAGGGCAAATCAGCAGGAGTGCGCGGTGCTGAAAGAAATCCTCCATGCATACGAAATTGAGTCGGGACAGATGGTGAATTTCCAAAAATCAGAGGTCTCGTTCTCAGCCAATGTAAAAACCCATAGTCGGCTTATCACAAGTGGCACTTTGGGAATGAAGCCAGTAGAGAAGCACCAGAAGTACCTTGGGCTGGTGACTGAAGTGGGACGTGCCAAGAAGGACCTTTTTGCGGGCCTGAAGGAGCGTGTTCGATCGAAGTTAAAAGGGTGGAAGGAGCGAATGATGTCGGTAGCTGCGCGGGAAGTGCTCATTAAATCGGTCGCTCAAGCTCAGCTGACATATGCTATGTCCGTGTTTAAGATTCCAGACGGGCTAATTGATGAAGTTCGCAGCTTGATCAACAACTTCTGGTGGGGTCAAAAGAACACAGAAAGAAGGGCTCATTGGATTCGACGCGAGGAGCTAGTGACAATGAAGGAGGATGGCGGCCTGGGTTTCAGGGACCTCCGAGGCTTCAACCTGGTCTTACTGGCTAAGCAGTTATGGTCTCTTCACCAACGACCTGAGGCGCTTATTTCCAAGATCTTAGCAGCAAAATACCATAAAAATTGTTCTATTCTGGATGCGAGGTTGGGAAGCAGACCGAGTTACATTTGGAGGAGCTTGCTCAGCGCACAAGACTTCTTGTGTGATGGCCTTCGATGGAGAGTCGGCAATGGAGCCCAGGTGCGGATTTGGGGTGATCAATGGCTGCCTGGTGACCCTGCTTTCATTCCCTCCGCCCCGACGATCTTGCCGGTGGACTCGACTGTACGTGATCTTATCGACCCTTCTACTGATGGCTGGGATGTGGAGTTGGTCAATTCGTGCTTCCCGGAGACTACTGCTCAAACAGTGCTATCAATACCCCTCAGGGGAGCGGAGGAGCCAGACCGCCTTATATGGCGACATAGCGAGAATGGTCAGTTTACGACTAGAAGCGGGTATCGTCGGTGGCTCGCACAATTCATGGCAGCGGAAGGCATTAACCCGGTGGGCGACGAGAAGTTCTGGTTGACGATCTGGAGAATGCAAGTCCCTCCCAAAGTTCGCCATTTTATGTGGCGGTTCTCTAGGGAAATCCTCCCTACCGGTGTGAAGGCGGCAGCAAAAAACCCGAGGTGGTCAGAGAAGTGTCCTTTCTGCGATGCGACAGAGACACAACGTCATATTTTCTTTGAATGTAGCTGGAGCTGCAGGTTATGGCGAGGGACACCCTGGGCGAGCGCTTTTGGCATCACAGGCGTACCAGACTGCCGGTCTTGGGTGGCGGAGGTGATGAAGCGGGAGAGCCAAACTATCTTGGAGCAATGGGCGATGCTACTATGGGCTATTTGGAAGGAGCGGAATGCCCAACTTTTCAACAGCACGAAGTGGCCCGAGGATGAGATAGTGATGCGAGCAATGACCCTCCTGGACGAATATAGTAAAAACCAAAGGCCGGAGGGAGTGGAGGATGACACCCGCTCGGCTGCAACCTGGGCGAGACCTGGTGAAGGAAAGATCAAAGTGAACACAGATGCAGGCATCTTTGCGGCAGGTGGTATAGGCCTCGGGGCCGTTTTTTGGGACCATCAGGGTCGTTTCTTAGCGGCTGCAGCAAAGAAGGTCCGTGGATCTTTCGAGGTGGAGATGGCTGAAGCCCTTGCTGCGGAGTTTGGCGTCCAACTTGCGAACCAGCTCGGTTTCCAGTCCCTGCTGCTCGAGGTTGATTGTCTCCCTCTGGTTGAGAAGCTTCGACACCCGGATAGCATTCATACGGAGCTTGGGGTCATCTCCAGGCGAATTATAAACCTCCTACAGGAAACGAGTTCAGGTAGGGTCGATATCATGCATGCGAGACGGGAAGCAAACAACGCAGCACATATCATGGCGCATAGTGAGACTAGATGGGATAGCAGAGAAGTGTGGATCGATAGACCACCGATTTTCCTTGTAGACCAGCTTATCCTGGATGATGCAACTGTCGCTTTCTGATTAATATATTTCTACAGGTTACCCGTCAAAAAAAAAAAGAAACAAGTCGGATATCACCGGTCGTTTTGAATTTTTGATGCAACATTTCATTGAGATTTTTTTGCTGATTTATTTTAGCAAAATCAACTCGTATGACAAAAATAAAACGAGTTGTGGTATTCTGTCCATGAGACAGTTAAAGTAACTCGTTCGAAGTTATTTGGATTACCACCCACTACTCCAAATTCCAATTGAAATGAAATTTTGTCTCTTGTTATCAGGGGTGGACCTATGTTATAGGGAATTGACACACCTCCAAAAAAAAAATTCGATAAAAAAGTAAGGTTCGCCAGTACTAAAATACGAACACAAGACCTCTTGACACAGCTCTATAGTAGACTCATAATCATTCCATCAGATTAGGAACATATTATTGTTATAACTTTGCTAAAGAACTTATTGTATACAGAAATTTATTAATGTGTAAATAATTTCCTTATACGGAAAGTTTATTGAATCCTCCACCCAATTCCAATTTTGATTGTAATAGAACTAATATCCTTATAAAAGAAACCCTATACCTATCTCGATTACAATTTATAAACGAAACCAAAAACTCTCTCACATGCACTGGACAATCCCTCTTCCTTTCTCTTCTCACACGGCCGGCAAAGTAAGCGGCTAGATTTATCATGTCAAGCAAGATGAGACCTTCAAGGGACCGCGAGGAATCGATGAGCTAGCTAGGCGAATGGTGGAGACAGGAAAGGATACTACTTGGCCATTGATGTACTTTCAGAGTATGGAAAGCCGTCGTGGCTCATTGTAAGAAATGAGAACTTTTATAATTTATGAATTATTTTTATTTTTTAATTTTATTATATTGAACCACCTCTCTAAGAATCCTGGGTCCGCCACTGCTTGTTATATCTCT